CTGTGTTTGATAACTGCAATGAACAGCACACCAAACAGATGAAGTATATGCACATGTATGTACCAATTGGGGGTTGTTCTCCGTGATACACCTATAAATCACGAGTGATATTCTATGAAGCACATTCCAGAAGTGGAGACTTGAGGGCCATTCGATTTACGAAAACCAGAGTAGACCAACTCTGGTAGGGTGCGTATCTGTATAATATCCCCACAAAGATGCACCTGCACTGCTTTCACTAGCACCCACCCGCTAAGAGAAAGGGGCTTAGGGCTTTAGACGAAAGATCCGCCGTGCGACTAGTTCCGCTCATGCATGCAACAAGTTACATCTCTACTCTCAGGAGCGATATGCAACTCTCTGAATAACAGTACTCGAGCAGTAGCAGTCCACATGTGTGGGGCGATGGCATCCCCGATTTTGGTTTTGACGGGAGTAGTCTTCCCGGATTCTTATGTGTAAATAGTGGATTAGTGTAGCCTAGTCCGTTAATATCAGTATATAATGCGAGTGACATTTCATGAGGCAAAAATCAATTTCAGTACTTTTTTTTGTTCTCCCCATTATAATACAACAGGAAACCATCCAACCCGACAAAAGAAAAGAAACAAAAAAAGAAAAGATCCAATAGTGTAAGGACCAAAAAAGAAAGTAAAAACAGCCGCGAGGCATCCAGAAATCTTGGCATGTATAAACCTAAGAAAAGAAAAAAACAAAAGAGAATTAATAGGAAACAAAAACGAGGAAAACGCCAATCATTCACCCTCCGTTAAACATAAACCCACACAAAGCCGCTAACACAGAGACGTACAGACGTACACATACAGACATTACAACTTGACTCCACTACCGTTGCTCACCACCACTTGGTCCTGCATCACCATATCCTCCATCACGTCGCTGGGCTCACCACTGTGCCCGCCACCCCGACCTTTATACCCGCCGCCGATACCCTCAATCAGTGGGCGCTCCTCTTCGCCGCCACTCGCCTCATCATCACTGCATACCCTACTCCCAGCGCCACTGCGGCTGCCCCCAAAGTCGCGCCCCGCCTCAATGACTTTGAGCTTGTCTCGCAGCGCCTGGGCGGTGACTTCCTTGGACGAGAATCCATTCTTGGGGTGGTTGCACCCGTTGACGCAGCCGCCATATGTCAGACGGGCGGCCATGGCGGCCTCGAGCTTCTTGATCTCTTGAGGTACATCCTTGGCGCGCTTTTCTTCCTGCTCTTTGCGGTAGGCGGACCATGTGCGTAACGTGTTCTGCAAGATGTATTTGTCGGTTTGGGGGTCCTTCTCCATTAGTACGAACTCGCAGTGGTTGACATTGCGAAGGTCCTCAAAGTGCTCGACAGAGTAATGGTACCTTTTCACTTAATTAGCACTAACACAGCACTAAAAGAGAGGCGCGAACAAACCATTTCATCAGGAAGATCCTGGTCATAAGCCCGTGAGTGACAAGCACAAGCACACTCGGAAAGTCATCCTCCGCAAACTGTCGCCAAAGACTCTCATTGAACCCCGAGACCCGATCGTATGCATCCGCGGCGCTCTCACCATTCGGAATCCGGTAGAAGAAGTGTCCGTAGGCTGCACGCTCGTGCCACATCCGTTCCATCTCCTCGCTGCATGGTTGGAAGTTGCCGAAGTCTTGTTCACGGATGCGAGGCTCTTCGTAGACTTTGATGGTGCTGCTGTTGGGGTGGGGTGTCAGAGACTGGATGATACCAGCGGTGGTCTCACGGGTTCGTGTGTAGGGCGAGGTGATGATCTGGACGGTGTCTTCGGGGCGGAGGAGCTTAAGGAGGCGGTCACCAGCTTCGAGGGCCTGGAGGGGATTAGTAGGGTTGAAGTGGGGGTGGGGGCATTGGAGGTACGTACCTGACGGTTACCTTCTTTGGTAAGCTTCACACGGTGGTCGGGAACAGTTTGGTGAATTGCGCGGTTCTCTGGAGAGGGAATTAGTAGCTGACGATGAGATTTTGGCGGGGGAAGACATACTGTTTCCTTCGCTCTGGGCATGGCGGACGAGGATGATGAGCTGTTGCCACCGAGAGGGGCCCTGGTTAGCTACTAATCAATTAAACAGGTACTTGAGTAGAGAATCTCACTCTTGGCTTGCCCATGGTGATAGTTGTTGGAGACGGTGGTAGTAAGTTGTTGTTTATTTGGATTGCTAATCAATTGGCTGTAGTTGGATAGTCGGGAGTGCGTTGTCGTCTAAAATAGTTTCTCGAGTTGGTAGTGCCCGGTGGGTAGGGTAGCTAAGGGTAGGCTCGGTAATGTAGCGGGAACGTCGGTTGAGATCTTATCCTTCAACGTTAGCTGGATGTTAGGGCTGAGAAATACCCCTTGCTTATCGATGTGCTTGGTAAACGGGCAAAATAGGAATTCGAAAAAGGGCTTCCTCTACTGATTTATCATGCAAGGAGGTGGACTAACTAGGGAGACGAGAAAAGAGCTTGAAGAGATCCAATGGCTGCGACAGATGGAGTTGACTGACAGCTGGGAGCACTATCACTCTACTTAAGTACTCTTCGTTCCGCGGTGCGTTGGCGCCGATGTCCTGATCTGCTTGCTTATTCTGATTCTCGGGAGTGGGATGATGCCTGGGATTGTTGCTAATAATGTTGGTTTTTAATGTTTCTGTTTTTGTCTCTCGGTCTCTTTTTGTCTCTGTCTGTTTCTGTATCTGTAGGGCTTGAGTTATGCAGGTGGGGTGGATTCCCCTCATCCTTTATCCTTTATATTTCAAGCTCACCTCAGTGCGATTGCGATTTCCAATCTTGATGCATTGTCCGGGGGCATTGCTTGCTTACTGTCTAGCTTGAAACTTCTCTGTTGACTGATCGTGATCTTGACCGAAGCATTACCTCAATACCTCCCATACCTCGCGGGATTAGATGGAAGCATCACTGCGCTGCCCACAAAGCACAGTCCATCATCAAGTATTCCTACTGCACTGCACTGTAGATCTTCACCAACTGTACCAAGCGAGCCAACTGCCTCTCTAAATTAAACTGAGTGACAGACAGAAGAAGGCAGAGCACATGATTACAGTGGAAGCTGCACTCAGTGCTGACTTTAACCAACCAGGTCGTTCCTGACTGGGGGTTGGCGCATGCGCAACCGCCCAATGGAAAAAGCAAAAAGAAGGTACACTGCAGGCCACTGACAGACAGTAGTTCAATCGACGACACAATAATGCTTGATGGTGTGAGAGAGCGGATATTTCCCCCTCATCTATAGATGGGTCTAGTGGCGATAGTACTCGATATGTTAATACGGGGTAAAAAATTCAGAAATTGTCGATGGCACTGAGGAGGCCTTTTGGGAAAAAAACTGGGCAGGTTTTTTTTTCTGCTGCCATGTCCCGGCGGCCAATTAATGCCAACGCACGAACTGCGCTGCAACATCTCATGGAGAGGGGGGGGATGAATTGTGTTTTCCCTTTCTTTCTCTCCGGTTCAATCTTCCTATGCGCAGGATCGTACTCAATTAATCGTACGTCGTCTTAGAACAATTCCTCGATTCCAATCCCATGGCATGGGCTGGCGCATGGCATAAACTACATAATGCAGGTTTAAAGGCTAAAACACTCACCCATACATGTACTCTTAGGTATGGGGAGCTAAAGCTTAAAACCAATATTAATCATCGCCACGTGCTCTAGCTACATGTAGGACTCCTTGCAGAACTCTACCTACATACATGAGTGAGTGTATGAAATGTAGGTACTCATGAAACGGCGATATTTTCATGATGCACTGAATCTGCATGTAGGGTGATCTGTGTCAGAAATCCCAGCCTTCCAAAAGTGAGTAAAAGGGCAAAAAAAAGTCTGGATTGAAATTATGCTCTTTTGAGTAGTTAACTATCTTTGGTAGCCCAGCTCATCTCTATGCTATCCGCTGGCCGGATTGACATTCACACAGTTATCGGCTGTGCTAGTAATATTTGAAAGTTGCCATAGGTCATCGCAGTTGATACTCTTAACCCCTAGATGTCGCCAACGTAGATGGGCGCAGTCGTCTCCGTAGCGGAGTGGATTTAAAGTTTTTTTCAAGCCTGAAGACAAGTCCCTCCACCCCCTCCCTCCCATTATGTTTTGTATGCAGTATGAATACAGGGCAGTCGTGGTGCAGATCTGCACTTAGTATGATCAAACTACTAGGACGCCAATATGTCTTGTTCGAAGCCCCTGAAGTATATAATTCTCCCCATCAGTACATCTCGGTGGCTCTCGATTGGTCCTTACGATCCAGTCATAGGGACGGCCGCAGTCGCACGCCATGGCTCACCTACCACATGCATATAACTAACGGACAAGTTAAAAACATCGATCACTTAATTACTTAGCAACAAATAATGCACTATCATATCTACTTCGTGGAGAGGCTGGGCACTCCGGCTTGGTATGTATATACATATGATGTGCTGTTGTATTCGAACGAATTGGCCAAGGCTGCACAAGGCGGACACGAGTTTTGAAAAGAAAAAATCTTTCTCGGATGCTGGCGACTACAGAAAACAGCGAATCATGTATCGATAAATCAATATTTCCTTGGAAATCTCCTTCGGAGATAGACTACCTGAATGCCTTGGTGTAAGCCCAACCAAACGCTCCGAGGTCTCGATGATCATCATAAAGTTGTATCTATTGGTGGACGCCGGAGAATACTGAGATAGTGCTCTAGAAGATGAGATTGTCTCAGATACAAAGAAACACCAGTAGCGTGCGCAGAGAGGGGTTGATGGCGTGATGGGATGATAGAACGTGTGTTTCCGATACGAGATAGATATGCGCAAAAAAGTTATTGGTGCGGGTTCTGGTATGAGGGGTACGCTGTAGTGGGGGCGGACAAGGCTAAAATGCGAGTGATATTCGGTGATTTCATTATCGCACAATCACTCGTGACGCACTTGCATAGATCATCGCGGCGCGCTGAACGTTGGTATTAACTGGCCTCTAATCTAGCCGGTGCTCAGCTGCACCGACACCTACTCTTTGACCACCTCTTCCACGAGCTCGTTTTCCTCCTCTCTTTCTTTTGTTTTCGCCCTCAAGCTTCTCGCCTCAACCCTCCTATTTCTGTTTTCCATCCAATCCCCTTTCTTATCCACGTATCTTTTATTAATCACTTCCACCTCTTCCATTCTTTTTCTCTTCATCACAGGCATATACTTGCCCCTCAGCAGGGCAGCATGCCCACCATCCACAATCACTTGGCTCTTTTTCGAGCCCTTCAGCTCCCTACTAGTAACCCCGACCCCGCCACCAGCAGCGATAACGTCCAGCAGACCTCCTGCCAACACTTCGTCCACAGCAGCCTTGTGCCAGATTTTCCACACATCTCCGGTGAGCTCCGCTTTGCTCTCGTATTCCCACCTTAACATTCCCTCAGGAAACATACAATCCCATAACACAAGGCAGCGATCGTTTGCCATCTCATAGTGGGGCTTGCAAGGGTTAGTTTTTGTATCTAGAAGTTCGGTGATAATTGATGGCTCCTCCAGTCCCTGCCCCACAAGAAATAGCATTGCTACCATGTGGCGAACCTGATGCCATAAGAACGCGGACCCATGCAGCTCGAAGTAGAAGGTTTTTGGGCGCCCTGTTTCCGCCACCTCAGTAGCAGAGCCGGAAGCAGCGCCAAACGTTGGCGCTTGCGGGACGACCTCATTTATGGAAGCGTGACGGATAATGCGATCAAACCGGCTAATCTGCTTGCTAGCGTCGATCTTACAGAAATTTCTAAAGTCGTGATCACCAACATACAGTGCCGCGGCCTCTCGCATCTTGTCAATATCGAGGTGGATGCTTTCTTGGGTTGTTCCAGCAGTCCCTGGAGGGATTGGGGGGTTGGTGAAGAAGTAGCGGTAGCGGCGCTCCTCACAATTGAAGCGGGCGCTGAAGCCTTCCGGGGGATTGGGGCACCAAGCAAGGACCCGGATATCGGGCGGAAGAAGCCGGTTGAGAATTTGTGGGTAGAGGAGCTCGTCGGCATCAGAAAATTCAGGGGTGCTGGGCTCGTCAGCCTCGGCGGTTAGGTCGGCACCGAAACTATCGTCTAGGGTGACTGCGGCGGGGTCCTCGGTGGTTTCAGCGGGCGGAGAGCGGGGAGCTGCGGGGAGTGGTCTGTTACTGCGCACACGCACACCAATCACCTGGCCAAATGCTGAAACTCCCTTGTCAGTGCGCCCGCATTTAGAGTACTCCACCGCCTCATCTCCAGGCCAGCCTAGTACTGTTTCCTCCTCTCCAGGGAGCCCGTTGTGTGGGACTAATCGTCCTTTGAGCAGCGCCTTAAAGATCTGCTCTTCAACCGTAGGAGTGCTGAACGGGTTGTTAGCATGGTACTCGAAACCTCCGTAGTTTGCACCAAGATAGGCGATCTTGAGTGCGATGTGACGTGTTGAATAGGCCGAAGAGTCGAACGTCTTTTTGGCTTTTCGAGGCTGGACCTGCTTTACTCTGAGGGATGGGTTAATTCCAAGAGCACCAGAGGGTTCTCGATGCCAGCAAGGTCTGATGAGGGAGGGACTTACTTACGTTTCCTGTGACTTTTCCAGTTCGAGGATGCGAGTGATGAGTTCAGAGTGCGACCACTTTGAGTAGAGCTGTTCCCGCTGCTTCTCCATGGCTAGACGTTTAGCTTCGAGCGCAGTGACGTTGAAGTTGCGGCAGTGTATGTGGGGGAGTATGAGGGTGGTGCGAGTGGTGCGCTGAAGACGGATGAGTCGCAAGACAGTTTGTGAGCTGTTGAGCCGCAGAGTTGTCATTACCCCTCCAGTACCTGGGTAGGTATATAACGACCTGCTTTCAGATGTATTTCCTATTGCGGATTTGACTGGAGAATTGACACACGAAGCACCCGAACCTACTGAAGTTTTTTGGTATTGTTGTTATGTAGTGGTGGATGAGACAATATTTTTCTTTGACTGTGGGTCAAGGTAGATACGAGAAATGACTGTTTGGAGAGTTTTTTTTTTTTTTTTTGTTTCCATCCGAACTTTTACTACAGCGGGACTTCCCGCGTACTGCCACATAGAGGTCTCCACAGCATCAGCCACAGGTGCCCGAGCTTGAAGGAAACTCCATGGATGGACGGGGAACGGGCATTGCAACGTGTCCTTGGAAGAATTCTCTCATGTGAGAAAGGGGAGAGAGAGGTAGCAGACGATGGATTAGGATATATTATTGTTTTGGTATATGGGCAGAAGCAGCAGCAGTAGTAGTAGTTGTTGGGTGGTATTGAACATAGGTTGTAGTAATTGCAGAGTAAGCCCTGGTAAGCAGAACTGAGAAGGGTATGGGAGATAATATTCAGAATGTGCTAGGATCCATAGGGCTGGATTGGATGCTGACGCGAAATTAAATCTTTCCCTACACGCATGCCTACATACGTATCTACTTTATTTACCTACATGTGCCTGTGTGCTCTGCTCTACCTACGTCGTCTCTAGATCTATCTTCTCTACCTACCTACATCCTACCCCCCCTCCTTGATCTTGGATTCGACATCTCCTCCTTGTTATCACAAGTCTTCAGATAGAGTGTAGGTACCCAATTCACATATCCAAGAAGTATCTATTGCACTTACGACGGATACTCCCAACCACGCACCTCGACCAGCCAGCCCGCCAGACTCTCCCACCAACAGAAAACTTGTCCCACCCCCCCTAAGAGCCTCAACGCCTCGCAACCCCCACAGCGCGTCATCTACCTGCCATACATCATACTCACAATACATATCGAATCTGTCTGCCAGCCAGCCAACCCATCCACGCCAACAGCTTTTCCCCCATCTGCACTCCACGATATAGATGTTTCCACAAGAGCTCTAGCAGCACAATTACTTTTTTTTTTCTCCCAAGAAAAACGACAGCAGCAGCGAGCGCTCTCTACACCCCCGACTCGGTCACAGTTCCATGAATAGCTGCTGTTCATGCGGCCTCTGTCAGTAGTACCTATCTATTCCTACCTCCTATTCCACTTGCTCGCGCCCAACACACAACCCAGATTGAAACTAACAACCAAAAAGGCTATTGGCGATCTTGGTTTTCATTGCCGGATACATTACTGCGCGCTTCTCTCTAATCACCCAGGCGATTGAATTGGCATACTTTGCTTGGGACAACGGTGTTGTCGTAAATACTCCCTTCTCCTTCTCCCCCGTTCTCATCGAGACAACTCCCAACCCCCGTGGCTTGGCTGGAAGCTTATCCTCACCTCTACCCACTTGGCTAACTGGGGTGTCTGTGTGTGTGCGGTACAGGGACGAGCAACAAAAGGATTCCTCATACTATCGCTCTTCTTCTTTCTCTTCTTCATCCCCATCGAGCGCATCGCATCGCGGGAAACAAGCCTAGTTAGTAGTCGATTCTGCACCGTCTTCTCTCCCCCGGTTTGGTTGCTGCTAACCAAAATGCACACAGCAAACACGCAGCGGCAGCGCAATCTCGGCGCGCGAGCAGCTCCGTCGGCGCGGGAGCTTCTACTAACTACTGCGCGGTTACTATGGCCAGCGGCAATGAGAACGGGCTGATGCGGATATTCTGGCCGCTCGACTTCCCGCGCAGCAGCGAGCCGGGGGTGCTGGTGGGATGGCGCAACTCGGAACATGATGTGTTTGTCGTGGACGTGCTGAATGGCGTCGATGTGGGTCTTCCTGTGTTTCTAGCCGCCGGCGCAGTAGTAGGAGTGGTGGCTGTGGGTGCTGATAGAATTGAGGAAACAGAGCAGACGAATCGGCCGCGACCTCGCCTCAACGAATCTCTACCGCAAGTCCCCTCACTCCGCCACCCGCCTCTTTGAGCTCTGCGGTCAGAGCGCCCTTCATGTCCTCGGAAATGTCAACGAGCCTGCAGCATCAGCGCAGACATTCGACCCATCGCATATTTACGCCTACACGCAAAAGTCTAGCCGCTACCCGCGCATTCACTGCCCGCCGTCCAGCGGTATCGCAATTCAAGTGATCTTGTTCGAGCGCCCTCACCCGCACCGTATGCAGTACCTCTCTCTACGGCCTATATCACTGGCGCTCGAAGACCGCGCCGAGGACATGGAGGGAGAGGCCGACGAAACGGGAGAGCGGCTGCGCCGCGAGGAACTGGTGCAGAAATTGCGCCTGCACTCAGTGAAAAGACCGCAACCGACAGAAAAGGAGCGGAGTTTGGAGATGATTGTGGACCAGGTCAATTGCTCGCATGAGATGCGGGTACTGTTGAAGGAGAATATAAGTCTCTTGGTTGGTAGAAGGAATAGGAGGGCGCTGAGCGTGAGCGAGAGGGTGGTGGAGGGGGCGACAGGCCTGTGGAAGGGCTTTTTGGATGCGCTGATGAGGGCGGTCTGGGTCATGTGGCCGCTGGTGACGAATTGTTTCGTTGTGTTGATTGTGGTATGGAGGTTGGTCGCAGAGACCATATTGAAGGTGTTAGAGTGGAGACTGAGGCCGGAGCTGGCGGCGCTCAAGGATATCTCGGCGACTGGTGAGTTTTTTTCTTGCCTCTTCGTTTTTGGTTGAGGGGATAGCTGCTAAGCGGTGATGATGGGAGTGCTATAGCGCAGCAATTTGATATACGTTTGCAGCAGTTCTGCTATTGGCCCATACAGTACGTGACGCTCCGACGGCGAAAAAAAGACTGGGAGAGCGTCACCAGTTCGCACCCGGATTATATCCGGTTTTATAATAGTCTTTGGCTAGTCGCCAATGATGTAATCATCGGGATTGCTTTAGGGTCCTACATTATAGAGAACGCCCACATTGTAGCCCACCAGATTGATTCCTATCTTCATGTACGTGACCTCAATCATCACCCATCACTCGCCCCCTGTTAACACTTTATGTACAGGCTTACACCGTTGAAGGCATGAAGGGCATGATCTCCTGGCTCATGAACCTCCCCGGCGGTCTCAAACTCAATCAAGAGCTCGGCTCCTTCCTTGGCGATCTGTTCCTCTGGGTAATCGACTACTGGGCCGATACCATGACCAGTATCCGCCCGCACCTCCCGCGCGTCATATACGCCATCGGCTTCTCATCATTTGCCGGTGCTTCTATGCCCATAGCCCTATTCTCAGATCTACTCTCTATATTAACACTGCATATATACTCCTTCTACATCGCATCAGCGCGTATCTACAACTGGCAGCTGTCCATCATCATATCACTATTCCACCTCTTCCGGGGCAAAAAAAGGAACGTGCTGCGGAACCGAATTGATAGCTGTGACTACGACCTCGACCAGCTGCTGATCGGGACGATACTCTTCACACTGCTGATATTCCTGTTGCCAACGGTGCTAGTCTTCTATCTCACGTTTGCAAGTGCGCGAATGGCCATCATCATGCTCAAAGCAACGCTAGAGACACTCCTGGCATGCCTAAACCACTTCCCGCTCTTCGCACTCATGTTACGCGTCAAAGACTCCAAGCGCCTCCCCGGCGGCATCCGCTTTGAGCTCAAGAACACGCGCGCCATCGTCGCCGCATTCGATAATACCGACACCACCCCGTCTATATCCTATATCCACCTCAAAGTACGCCCCCCCCTCCCCCTCCATATATCCCTTCTTCCACTAACCAAAATAAAAAATAGTCCACCCCTCTCCCCTTCCGCGCAATGTTCCACCAATACTTCCAGCTCGGCCAGCGAATACGGGGTCACTACGTCTCCCCGCACGTCATACTCTGCCTCATGACCGGCCAGTCCGTGCCCCCAATCCACCGCCGAAACCTGTATAGCATGCAATACAGCATGTTGCCGACGAAGCGGGCAGGGCCGTGGGAGCTGTGGGGCAGGCTGGTGGAGGGAAAGTGATGTTGGGACTTTTTTTGTCTTTATTGTACCTTTTTATTTATTTTTTTTGTAAGCGGTTGTGACAACTAGACTTGGGAGAAGGGAGGGGCGGGGCGGGGCGGGGCGGGTATTTAATGATGAACCTTACAATTGGATTGGATTGGATCGGTGGGTAGATTGGGATGCGTGTGGGCTGTAATTGTGATTTCTGATGATGTGATGTGGAAAAGTTTTTCTATTTTTATGTTTGTAGTTATTTTGGACTATGTGTGGGGGTAAGGGGGTTTATAACAGATCCTTTAGGGAAGGGATTTGATGGACTTTGAGGTGCGGCCAAGTTGTGTGGGCACTTGGGGATGAATGGAGATATGATATCAGGTCCATGGGGGGTGTTCATACCATGTAGTTGGATTTCAGTGATGATCCACATCGCATCTAAATCTATCATGTGATGCATACATGTAGCTAACATACCTAGCCTTTTGTACCACTTATAACGTGTAATATTGGCGTGGTGGTGTTTGTATCGAGTGATTCTGTATGACGTAGACGGTCATGAATAGTCACTCGGACACAGAGCGGCTCTGTGGGGACTGAACCACCCATATTTATCGCCCCAACTCGCGCTCAAAGAACGTAAAAATGATAAGAATCGAGATATTTTGAGTTTACTAGCGACGCCGACTGAATGAAATATCAAAGATCGCGTAGGAACACTAGTAGTAGCGTACCCTTCGAATTCATGATGGGGGCTTATGTTTCAGGAAGCCTACCCATGGCCCGGCTTGGATAGATCTGGGTAGACGAGGATTTCCTTGGTGCTCGCGGTTGGAGTGGACCTGTGGCTTAGGAGGAGCTAGCGGAGCGGGAGCGGAGAGGCGCAGTGGTTCTCAGTCACCAGGCCTAGGTCTCACATATGTGATTTCCTCTCTACCCCACATCATCCGCACCAAGAAAATGCTGTGATATTTAATATATCTGGTGAGATAGAGCAGGGTGGAAGGGTAGAGGATGGGGGTTGTACCTAAAATAAAGATTACTTGAGGTCAAGATATGTACCCACTTTGTCTTATGAAGATCTTCCCAGGCTTGTCTTCCCAGTCATAGGCAAAATGCTTTTCCGATGTATTTCCAGATGCAAGTCCTAGTACTTTGGAGTGAGTCCTTAACATTAAGAGAAACTTTAGAAGGTAGTCTAGGCACGGCGTAAATAAAAAGGTCACTCAGGAAACAAAAGTAGGTAGGCGGTATAAGTCCATACGATGGAGAAGAGTACTCACTGTCTAATGAATTTGCGAAGCGCGTCGTATTTTGGTAGAAGGCAAGAACACAATTACCCTTGCCACAGATAGTCCGAGAAGAAGAAAGCTGGGGCAATAATAGCCTCTATTAGCGAACCTTCATTCATGGTTGTTGCAGTTGTTGGTAAGGTTGTCTAGCTGCAGATGTCTCTCAAATGCTGGGCTGGACCGCCGGTCTTACACCATCCTGCTTCCAAAGGTACATGTATATACATGTAATGTGTGGAAATCTTTGGCCCCTTCCCGCAAAGCAGGGAGCACCCCGTCTTCCTTCTTGTATGTTGGAGGCATTGGGGCACCACATCACTATCATTCATGCAGAATGTCTCGCCTTCGGATCTCAACATCCGTATGTAAGATCTTAGGGTTTGCCCATGTATGTATCAGTAATGGCTGCGTCTGCACTGATTCCAGCTAAACGGGAAGTCATAGTTTTACTTCATCTCGCGCTCTGGAGAAAGGTATAGAATGATTCACTTTGGACAACTCTCCTGATTGTCTCATATAGTTCTGTTCCGCAACGTGTTCTCCTCAGTTTGCTATTGAGTTTTCTCGTTGCACTGGCACAAGTAATCAAAGAATAACAGCTGTAGCTTATAAGTTCATCCATCACTTTGATTGTCTCAGCCAAGTCTGGAGCAACCCTGAGAGACCGAGGATCTCGGTTCCTGAATGGTGACCATCAGATGGCTTCAGAGGAATCCACAAGAGACCCACCAACGAAAGAAACCGTGCCTTCTATGCATAGGTACATGTATTCGGGAGCTGAGATGGGTAAATACATGTGTGTACTTTACTCTAGCTACTCTACAGCGTGAGGTAAAATTATTGTAGAAGCATGGGAAGAGTTCTATTGGCCGAGTCAGCCACCTAAACCCTGTTTTTAGACCCCTGTTTCTACAATAATTCTACCTCTCACTGTAGAGGACTCTGCATAGGGACAGTTGCATTACATTCAGAGCTAGTAGTTCGGTACACTGCCGAACCAGGGTTCTCAGAAGTCATGCAGGGTAAGGATACCTATTCCATGAGTTATCCTCGAGCATTCGGTTCTACTCCGAATACAACATGATTCCTGCATCTGCAGTAATTAGGGTGCTGATACATATAGCTTCCTGCTTGTCTAGGAAATCCTCCGGGACGTATGAGAGTAGTTTCTCCCCTCTTGGTCGAGTAGAATTATGGCGGCCTTTAAGCTGACCGCCCCCCCTTAGGCACGTATTTCTAACTTTCGTTATAGCCAGTCGAGTCTATGCGGTAGTGATAAGCGTAGCAGAGGAGGGTGAGCATAGGTACTAGGTACCTCGCCTAATATCGATATCAACAGCAAGTAGTGTCAACTGCTGGTCTACAATTTGGACATGAATTTGAATGATTCGACGAGACAATTTACACACCCATAGACTGTATCTAGCGCTTTCGATCCTGTTTGCCGTGTATGGCGGAGTTTCTGCCTGAGTCTTTGATCATCCGCATGTGTAGTACCTCCCTCCTTCGCCTGTTTCTCTCACACCTAAACCTATCAAAATTCATAAAGCAAGTCGACAGATCATTAGCTGATGGTTGTTCTCTTCCTGTAGGAATAGAAAGGACTTGATAGTCGAGTGCTTGAGTGAGGTGATACTACCCAAGTTTATGCTGCGCTTAAACTTATGCAAATCTCTGCAATTATCCATAAATGCTACGAGATAAATAATTATATCTCCACCACAGTGAAGAGATAGGGGTCTGGGCCTAAGAATGACAAACAATTCCTTTAACGCGGCTCTTTCCTGTCTGGGATATTCGGAGTTTTAACGAGCGGTAAAAAGCTCATGCATTCAGCGTGTAACTTCTCACACCATCCTAGAGGGTGTCTATGATTGCCCCCACACTTTTCACGCTTTTTTTTGATACATACATACAAGGGGATTAATAATCTGCAGAATTGATACCTACTTGAGGTAGGTATCACAGACATTCAATGATTACACGCTCGTGATTGTATCGAAACATCCGCGAGAGCCTGCAAATAAACGGCTCAATCCCTGAAGTTTTGACGCCAAATAGCGAGATTTAAAATCTGGTAGACGTCTCGATTAGCCGCGCAGCCAATTAGTAGAAATACTTCGGGTGAGATTTTGAGCTTCTACACACGCATACGCATAATTTGCGTGGCACTTTATGTGGACTTTACCCAATACATCGATGATCCATTTGACCCTTGTTCCGATGTCTGGCATGAACTAATGTACCCTGAGCATTGTTCAAAGTCCGAACACACGTAAAGTAAGTGCGCCTCTTGTGTGGAGAAGAGCTCTCGGAGATCTCGGGAACGGGAACGGGAACTAACATTCATTTCCTTTGCTTCTTTTATGTGTAGCTTTCGGCTTAATTTTCCTGCATTATTACCAACATCCAAATGACGGTTGGCTAATATATGTAGCCTGGCTTTCCACAGAAAAATCCGCACAAGACATTTGTGTGCCATAGAGCGATGTGCCTCCATACATGTAGAGTGCACCATGTAAAGCACTCTGCTTGCATCTCAGCGCAGAGTTGGTTTCAAGTCTCATGTCGATTCTCGTACGATATATGCCCTACGGCCATAGCAGGACTTCTCCTACTAGTACCAGCAGAACCGCAGTAACCGGAGATAATTACTGGAACAAAAAGCAGACCTAAGCGATGTTTACCTGGAGGCGGTATATCTATATTTTTAGGCTCTCCATATGACATGAGATTGCGCAGTGAGTTAAAGGAGAACATATGTTTTGATGTGTTGTGGCCGGCCGGACGGCCCACGCGGACTCCAGTTGACGAAGCGTTGTAAGGAACTGCATGTATCCCAAAAAAGATGCTCTATGCTAGTCTACTCTAGACAGAGTTAGGTGCTCTAGAAGGGCACAGCTCCTTCCTGCACACGTGGAGAAGAGAAAACGGTTTCCATAATGGACGTCGGCTAAGATGTTAGTGCTCGTATAATATAATATTGACCTACATGGTCGGGTCATATGTTTTTCGACATTCCGATTCGCCATATTGCCTGCTCCTTTTGTACCGGATATGTGGAACGGTAGTACCTTTCTACACCCCATGTTCACACCGTCACGGTAGACATACTTACTGTGACTTTTTTTTAGGGGAATTATACCCCGCTTCCTTCCTCTTCGGAATGTAACGGTAGGAGAGAGTCAATTTACTTAAGTGTGCGAGGCCGGTCGTTCAATTTTTGATTCTTCTTGTCTCCCAAATCTCTCAAAAAAGAAGAATCCCTGATCCTACGCACTTATTTTCGTTGAGATATATAAACGACTCAAGATATATATACGAGATGGCCGAATCAGCTAATGCTAATGCTGCGAGCGCCGCGCTGCCTGATCTTGATGTGGATTCCGGGAACACAACTGACGACTATTCCGTCTACTCCAGCGGACTGTAAGTTCAAATCATTGATAGTAGCTATACGATCATTATTGACGCAAACAATTTTCCAGAGAGAGCGCCACAACATCCCTAAAATCGAGTGTCCTAAAATACAAGTAAGTGTCGCCTGACTGTCAGCCTCTGGGAATATATATCCATGGCCAACCAAGCCACCTACTGATACTTTGCCTCCAGATATGAACATGGAAGAAGATACCACGCATACAAAGAAGGTTCCTACTATGGTCCCAACGACGAGGCCCAGAACGAGCAATTAGACATCTTCCACCACTACTGCACCCTCGCCATGGGTGGGAAGCTCCATCTCGCGCCCATTGGTGACAACCCGCAGAAGATCCTGGACATCGGCACGGGAACGGGAATCTGGGCCATTGATTGCGCGGATATATATCCTTCCGCCCAGGTTAGTAAACAATCATGCCATGAAAAGAAAAAAAGAAGAAAGAAAAAGGCCAATAATATTAACTCTCTTCACAGGTCATCGGTAACGACCTCTCACCAATCCAGCCGTCATGGGTACCTCCGAACCTACAGTTCGAAGTCGACGACCTAGAGAGCGAATGGGCGGTTCCTCCGGACGTGTTCGACTTCATCCACATGCGCTACATGGTCGCCTGTGTCAGCGACTGGCCCACGCTCTTCCGAAAAGCATACACGTAAGTCCTCCCCTTCCTTTCTCATCCCCCGCTGGGGCGGCCCGTCCTAACATAACCACGAAAACAGCGCAACCAAGCCCGGCGGATACTTTGAATCGCAAGAACCCACGCTCCAGATCTTCTCCGACGACGGCACGCTCCCGCGCGGCTCACCAATTGATATCTGGGTCGACAAGATGGCGGAAGCGGCAGATAAGTTTGGGAAGCCGGCTCATATCGCGCACCGCACAAAGGCCTGGATGGTCGAGGCAGGCTTCGAGGACGTTCATGAGAAGGTTATTAAGACCCCGCTGGGCCCGTGGGCGAAGGATCCGAATATAAAGGAGATTGGGAAGTATGCGCTGCTGAGCGCGTTGACGGGGTTTGAGGGATTCACGATGGCGCTGTTTACGCGGGTTTTGGGGTATGTCCTGGTTCCTGGATTAGTGGTGGTGGTGGGTGGTTGGTGGTTGGTTGGTTGGTTGGTTTGGCTAGCTACAGTACCTAGTACTAGCGAGAATATAAAGTCTGTCCGCTTTGGTACATGTGTGGACAAGAAAGTTTGGTGTCCTATCTACGTACCAAAGCGGACAGACTTTATACTTTCGGTAGTAGGCTGCTTGCTTGCTTCTTACAAGTAATTCTTGGCGTTAGGCTGGCTAGCTTCCAACCCATAGCTACCAATCAGCAACTTATACTGAGGATATACGCTAACATTGCTTCTTTAAATTCTAGATGGTCAAGTGAAGAGGTGCTGGCCTTCTGCGTAAAGTGCAGAGAGCAACTCATAGATAGAAAGACGCACGTGTATCAAAACTAGTAAGTCAACTTCCAATCATTGAACCCACATTGGTTACAGAAACTAAACATTTACACCTACACTTCTAGCCATGTCGTTTATGGACGCAAACCTGAGAAGGACGAAAAGTAATTGGACAGTGATTTATAGGCTGGGAAGGGAGTTGTGGCCGCAACTCGTTGTAAATTGTAGTTTTAGGAATCATTGACTTCGTAAAATATTATTTCGTGTGCAACTTGAAAGACACATAAAGAGAACCGAAATCCAAAGTATTGAGTTTCCCTAATTTGTGTAGCTTATTAACTCCTCAGCATCCGCTTGTAGAGTTAGGTGTCGTGACTCTTGTTATATGCGCACGTATTTATCGGCTCTTTTTGGTCGGTTGGCGCATGTCTACATAAATCATCCACTATATATCCCCAAACTTGTATCTGCATCTACCCTCCCATCAGAAACTCACAGTTCTTTCATGCGTTCCACCAATATTCCCCCTTTGCCAGCAGGTCTAGTAATAAAAAATCCCTTCTCTAGTTCTAGCCAGCTTTCCATCGAACCTTATTACACAAGTCAAAAAAAGTTTCAATGCTTACAACGTTACCCCGTCGACTACTTTTAACCTTCCACCATAGCTTGTTATTTATGTTGGACCTGGGTCATACAGGATTATTACCCCTTTCCCCGGATCTAAGAGCCTCTAGAGCTTAATTCGACCGGTAGTTATATCCAAGGACGTCATTGTCACACCGGCAAATAACAAAACCACCTACCCTCCTAGGAATCCCAATACATAGCTACAATTTAATTTTTTTTTAAACCCGGGAGAATTGGCATATGTAGGCCTCTTTATAGAAGGTGCCTAAGACAACGCAACTCTGCTGAGTTGTGCTGTACTGGGTTGTGTATATGGAATCAGGAGAAGTGTAGTACTGCTGTTAATTGATTCTAGTTTTTTAATGACCCGATCAGGAACTAAGCTCGGTGGTGGAAACCTTTAGGACAATTGAGCCACGTTACAATGATGCACCTTTGGGGGTACCCCTGTGCTCAGAGAAAAGGTTTTTGTCGAGGTGCCAATGACGAAATCTGTTCCTGGCTATATTACTGGACCAAGATTTAACGTGCATGCAAACCCTCACTCACTCAAATTAATTCCCCGGGACCTTCCTCAAAGGTACGGACGGCTGTACTGTACTTTAATTGGAGAGTTTCTCAAATAAGAAGGAATCTTTGTGGTTCAGGATATCTATTCTGGCGGTCTTGATTTTGGACCCGTCATCCTCCACCGCTCGATTTAGGGCTCGGGTTTAGCCGAGTTCGACTTGCCTTGGCAATTGTCGGAAAACAACGAATACCTGCTTAATACGCTGCCTTGGTTCGACATTATTATTGAAAGCTTCTATGTCTTTGGATCTGGCGTGTGGTCATGGTACCCACAAATATTTACCTACTGATATCAACTCAGCATAAGCCAGTTTCGACTTTGGCGGGTATACGGCACCCATTCTATTGGTACCACATTTACACCTCCTGCAAGTTGCAGGGGTAGAATTCATACCGCTAGGTAACCCGGAACGCTTAGCGCTATGTGCGCCACGCGTTCTTCCGTCATTCCAAGCTTTCTGCCACATGCGGCCCCCAAGGCTTGGACAAAGCTTGTTTCCTCGCGTTCCAACTTCCCAGAGACAAGACAAGACAGGACGATCAACCCTTCGTACATGCCATTTCGTCATGCCACCCAAACAAGAATTTGAACCAAGGAATGAAACCCTTAGCTGTGACGTGAACATCAATTTAGATGAATATAAATACGTTCAAGCCACCACGATGTATTTTTCCTAGATCATCAGCAAGCAATTCTACATCTCCACAATAACCTCGAGCTCTCTATTCCCTCACAATGGGGCTATTCTCACGCAACACTGAGGCCGCCGCACCTGCTGGAGATGGTACCTCCAGCAGGCATCATCATCACCGCCGCTCCAGCGCCTCCAATGGCCACCCCGAGAAGCACAGACGGGTTTTCGGGAGACACATGAACGAGCGGCCCACATTTGGCGAATGGCTCCGCACTATCTGGCTCGACATTTTAACCATGGCGTGCTTGGGAGCCGTCGGTCTCGGTGTTTACATGGCGCCTCCAGCGCCCTCACGATCCTTTCCCGTCTATTTCCAGGATGGTGAAATCGTATATCCTCAGTTTGCGTACCCCCTTCGCAAAAACATTATCCCCATCTGGCTCGCTGCGTTCCTCGCCTTCTTTATACCTTTGGTATTCTTCGCCCTATTCCAGATCCGCGTTCGCAGCTTCTGGGACTTCAACGCCGCAGTCGTTGGACTCCTCTATTCCCTCATCAACGCCGCCGTCTTCCAGGTCTTTCTCAAATGGCTCATTGGCGGTCTTCGCCCACACTTCCTCGCGGTTTGTAAACCAAACCTCCCAGACGTCGGGATGAATACCGGCAATGGTCTTCGCCAGATCATGTACGACCGCAGCATTTGTACCGGTGACGAGAAAGAAATCAACGACTCGCTAGAGTCGTTCCCATCGGGGCACAGCACCGCCGCATTCGCTGGGTTTATCTTCCTGTATTTGTACTTCAACGCGAAGCTGAAGGTCTTCTCCAACTACCATGGCGCCATGTGGAAGCAGACACTGCTGTACGCGCCTGTTCTTGGTGCGGTGCTTATTGCAGGATCGTTGACGATCGATGAGTATCACCACTACTATGATGTTATTGCGGGTGCAATTATTGGTACCATGTTCGCATTCTCATCCTTTAGGATGGTATACGCGTCAGTATGGGACTTCAGATTCAACCACATCCCGCTGCCTCGTGGCAGTGGAACAATGGGATTCTCATACACCGATTCGGATGAGATGAGGAGTTTCCATGATGCGATTGCGACTAGGAAAGCAGGATGGGGAACATTAGGTGGTGGTTTGACGGGTGCTCCATTTGATGCAACGTCGGCGGCTGTGGATATGGGAGATCTTGTTGGAGGATCTGGGAGGGGCGCCAGGATGAGCGGGAGGAGGAGAGGAGATGATGTGGTTTAATTGCCTGCTTCCTCCCTATTTTCTCTTTTTCTTTCTTTATCCCTTTGCTTTATGGTGTTGTGATGCCTCTACGAACTAAATTCGCTTCTGTTTAATGACGGGCTTGAGATCCCTTTTCATGCTGGGTTTTTCCTTCTTTTGCATCCTTGTACAATTGGAGTTATATCTACATAGTTAGTTGTCTAATGAATCTACACTCGGTTAATTGCGTCAATGCAATGCGTTCCGTTGATTTGTTAAGAGCGAATTAAGGCCTTAAACATTTGAAGATGTTGAGGTTTCGATGATAATTCCGAGCTCGAGGGGGGGTACTCACCTCAAGGTATTGACTTGTAATCATGCTCAATCCCAGCATCTAGCATACAATGATCAAACAGCAAGCTGTCCATAAGGGATAGCACGGGTTGATGCCACTTTTATTGTGGATACAATGTCATGTAATTAATCATGGGCGATGTAAAGTAGGAGTGGGGCGACGAACTCAGCACAGAAGACAGTCCACTAGCGTAGATATCGGCCCGAACCTATTTCGTAAATCCTGGCGCCAAGGAGCTCAAAGCTTCCAATATTTGCCAAAGAACTGTCAAGAGAAATTTTAAGGGCATTCCTTCAATTTCAACTTTTGAGAGAGCATTGTTGCATAGAACCAACAAGCACGGAATATCACTCGATCCAAGGCTAAGAGTTGGCAAATGCTTTAGTTTGGAATGTTTTCTCGAGGAAACAGACGTCAACAACAAGTGAGGTTTCGAATTATCCATGTCTATGTAGGTGGACGAATCAGAACATAACTCAGGCATGTAGCAAGAATCACCAAGTAATAACAGCGTTAATAATTATAAAGCAAAAGCCACCAAGAACGGGTTTATATAGTTCTCTCTATGTAACCTTCGGAACCTCGCCGAAATGCAGAAACCGAGCTCCAACTCCATGGACTCCGCACTATAACTGATGTAGATACTTTAGAATATTCTATTCAAATCAGGCGCTGTAGAGATTCACCTGGAACTGGTGTAATATCATTCGGATACACGCCGAAAGCTTCCCTCAAGGGGCGGTCTGTATCAATAGTGACCTCTTGAAATGCTTCAACATCACAAAACGCATTTCTACATGATACTAGATGAAAAAGCTTCATGTGTCTTATCTCACATACTTAACTGTCGCTCCGTCTTGATCAGTATGCAAGTACTCAACTTAGGGGGAAGAATGCCCCCGTGATTGAAAGAATATAGAGCTAAATATGGTGAAGCAATCTAGACGGCGCAATTGAAGAATAGAATTCCTTCCAACGGCTCAACAGAATGTTCTTGATACCAGACATTCGGTTGATTGATCGTACATGTGATTGAGTATTTAAGTACTCAATTAAGCGTGCATGTGGAGCCAAGGGGTTTTGGCATCCTCGTCTCCAAATTGAGATGTAACTACCACAAGCATGAATCTGATCTGATAACCGGGCTCAAAACTTGATACTTTACTAGCCTTATAAATAAGGCAGAAACTCTCATAAGACGTAGGGCACGGAAAGTTCCGTTATAGCCCTGTAAATCCATATACCCCTCTCATAAGAGTCATGTTATATGATCATGAGAGAGGAGGAATCCTCATAACGGCAGCAGTAATTACCGTACATTGTAGGTAGCTTTTTAGAGGGAAATCCATGCTGTATGAACGACTAAATGAGTGAATTTGAAGCCCCAATCCAATTGCTTTGCCAGTAGGTTGGTCTAAGACGGCGGATATAATCATTGTTAAATTCATATCCCAAATTTGGGTGAATATTCGCCTCCAAAAAGTGCATAATCCCGTTTCAAGTCTGTATATACCAGTGAAAATCGTTGATTTTGAGAAAGAATCAGGGGAGACCACAAAGAGATTTTCCCTTCAGGCTGGAATTCGAAGATCACGGAGAAATCTCCGATTTTGTATCGAGTGTAAATATCTACACCAGACAATACTGTGCATAGGTCGGACCGTATGCAGTAAATGCGGATTCTTCCTGGATTCCGGCCCTATGATGGCCATCAAGACTACTTTCCTAGATTTATTAACTTTGAGGAAGAAGTTTTGTACCAAATATGTACCATCTGAAGCCTAAACCACTGTCAATTCCTGGTAGTTGGTAGACACGCTGCTTGATTTACACGAAACTTGGGTTAACCCTGTTTGTCTTAAGCTTCAAGTTCGCCAAAGTAGGGTACCAAGATTCAGCGGTGAGTCTAATACACGGTCTTTCAAATCCCTTGACTTGAGCACATCGATGTTTGATGGGGTGACGCGGTCCCGGGATGACCATCTTATGTCAAACACCTTGGCAGCCCTCAAGCCTTGCTTGGCGTCTGGGAAAATAGTTGGCCCGGGCACAACCCCACAGCCATATGTGACCACTGCTAGTAGTATATAACTGAGGTTGTTTCAGATATATCGTAATACTGCTGCAATTGAGATAAACTCCTGAATAAAGTTTTGAAAGTGGGGAAAGGTACAGTTCTCAGACCTGCCCAGATCCATGTCGCAAAGGAGCTTTCTCAACATATGAAAACCTATGTATTGTCTCGAATCAGCAGCCATAACTGTCGTATTACAAAACATTTTAGCCGCTGCTTGAAGTTGAGATCGTCGATAATGTGATGAGGACGAAGCAAAACAGTTATTAGCAAATGGTAACCAATGGATCGTTTGATTCGGCTAGGTAGGAGTAATGAGGAGCTGCAGTTGCATTGTGGAAGTCTTGGCAAACGAGAAACCCCTTACCGACAAAGGCTTAAAACTAAGACATCCGTCTAAGAGCTTACTATCATATTACTCTCGTATCTCAGACACAGGTCGCGCGTAGCAATCGCAAGACATCTCTATTGGTTTAGTGGCACTTCATTTTTTTCACTATTCTTGTGAAAATCAAGCTTAATACTGATTATTCTATGGGCCAGTGAGTATATGTAAAGTCTGGGGAATCTAGAGGCACCTACAGATGTCTTAGAACCTCGACCCTGGCTACATACGGAGTTGGTTGGTGGAGAGGTGCCACATTGAAACGCGCGCGGGTTCGAACGGCGGTTCCACGAGTCAAACCCGTCGCGTGGGACCCGTGAAGACCTAACATACTGTTGGTGGTGGGTCCATTGCGCAGTGGCAAAGTCAAAGGGCATGCAGATGCGGTTCTGAGGCCTGACGAGTGAAACACAGAACATCAAAATGTAACGCCCATAACCACCTTTTCACAGGTATCTCGCCCGCCTCAATGAGACAGGAGAGACAAACTTGGCGGCGGCAGCCCAGCTGCGATTCAACACATAAAGGATCACGAGCCTCCGCCTTTTGTTGGTACTGGTGGTCTAGGCAGTTAGGTATTCCAGTGCTCGGCCGGTCCTCAACACAATATTCACGATACTCACAACCTAAAGATACTCATATTAAAAATTCTAGTTTCCATCATAACTTTTATTATTTATTCTTCCCAAAGCTGGATTTTGAGAACCCTTAATTAATATTACCTCCTCCTACGGATACTCCTACTTAAAGCCAAATAAACAATGGCAATCCACGATTCAAGATGCCCCGTTAGCGGTAATTCCGACGCCTCTGGTTCCTGTCCTGGCTCAAGAAGCTCCTCCAGGATGGGACCTAGAGGTTGTGCCTTTTCAGGCTTCTCTCAAAATGCACAACAAGTTCTCTATGGTGTAAGTATTATACTACCAAAACCATTAGCAATTAGCCATGATTGATAGACCCAATTGCTAACACTGCCTTAACAGGCCCCCCAAGGCCCAAACGCATCAGCCATAATATACGAGCACGAAAGGCGCACAATGGTCGACGTTCTCCTCCCCAGCGCACCCTCCAAAGACCAAACCCGCGGCCTAAAAAACGCCGACATCCTCACCCCGTCCAACGAAGATGTCCTCGCCGCTGCCCTCGGCGCACCCGCACGGCGTGTCCTACAGCGTGCGGAATCCATGGGTCCTCGGACAGGCTGGAGAGATGGGTATTTGACCAGCTCACATGGATTCTGCCCTCCTGACCCTTCGGCCTCTCCAATTGCATTGGCCTCCAGTCCGGGGCGTGTCTGGAGCGACTTGTGCGCTCGGATGCCAGGGCTTGTGGGCCGTGGGAAAATTAGAGAAGCTATCCTTGAGCTTCCACTTATAAGTGGCGGGCCTGAGGTTATCCCGGATCAGGCGCTGTGGGCGGCCACGGTATGTCTGGGGATATTGGCAAGTGTTTATCGTTATGAAGAGAGGAACGATGGACACGAGGGGATTGTAGCTGGCGCACATGCATCGGCCTTTCTAAATGCCACAGGAGATGCAGAAGATGAGGAGGAAGAGACGAAAGGAATACCGCGGAATGTAGCGATTCCACTGCGAACTGTATGTACGAGAATGGGAAGGCCGCTGCCGCATCTAACACAGTACGATGTATCGATATATAATTACAAGCTTAGAGATCCGACAAGCGTCTATCCATATGTGGAGCGATTTGAGAATATGGATTTGAGGTGGCCGGTATTTCAGGATTTAGCGGAGCGCGGATTCCTGATTTGTATGGCTGCTAGTCATGGATGCTTTACTCCGGGAGTGGAGTTAATAGCGAGGTGTCAAGAGATGGTAATGGATAGGTATTACCCTTTAGAAATTTCGTTAATTAAAAAAGCTTCAACTAATTACTCGAGTCGTTTAGGGATAACGAAGGGCTATTAAAGGAACTTGTAGCCTTGAAAGAAGTGGTCGATCAGCTAGGATACGTCTTCCATCAAATCAGCGTAAACCCCGGCTCCGGGGAGAACTTTTCCAATCCAGTAAGACCCAAAGATTCAAATATCTGCAAATATCATTTTAACGAGTCCTTAGGTCGAGTGGGGCCAAAGATATGCCAAATTCTCAGCGCCACTGTCAAAACGGGTGCCAGCTTTATCAGGGCTAGCATTGCCACTTTTCCAACTCATGGATGCCTTCCTGGGCCGCAAAAAATATGACTCTTTCCTTGGGCTGGAAGCATTGCATTTGAGGGCTTGGCTGCCGTTGAACATTCGGGCGTTTATCACAGCCGTGGAACAGTATTATTCAGTCCCTGAATATGTTAAATCTAGTGGTGATTCACGATTGATGGGTGTGATGGAGGGGATCGTCGAGTCTTATGCTGGAGAACGAGGCTTTATGGGAACACATAGATGTAAGTTTTATATCACGTTCACAATTCGTTTTTATACTAACGTGCAATAGACAAGGTATACGGGTTCCTGGAAGTAGTTGCAAAAACCGGGCGTACCGAAACCAACGGTGGAGCCGGCGCCGCAGACAACCAAGGCCGTCCCTGGGAGGAAGTCCACAAGACCCTTTCCGACTCGATGATTGAGCGTCTGCAGCCGTTCCGGGAGAACATATCGCGCAAGCCCCACGAAATGCGCGGGTGTTTCGAGGAATGCCGTTTCAAAGCCAAGATCGCGCGCCGCTCATTTATCGATAGTGATCCTGACAGAAGTACAGCCAAGGTTACAGTCGATCTCATGCAGTCTGGGATTACCTTTGGCCCTGGGGACCGTCTCGCGGTGATGCCGCTGAATGGGTGGAAGGAGGTTGTGAAGTTGGCGGATGTGTTGAGCTTGATAGAGAGGTTGGAAGAGGTCGTTGCGTTGGAGAGGTCTTCCGAATGGAAGAGATATGCGCACCACGAGGCAGCGATTTCGCGTGATAAATCTGCAGCGGTATTGAGGATAAAGGATATTCTGAGAAAGGGCCATCTCTCCCCTCTTACGAAGGAAACGGTCATGCAGGTGGGTTTTCATAATCCTTCAGTTCCCAGGACATTTCATACTCATGGTAAAATCTAAACAGGTTCACGTTCTTCTTCGAACATCATCATCGACTGTCCTTAAAGTGCTTGCATCCGAGACCTGGCCAGTCAGAGGGTCACTAGGTGACCTTTTATCTGCTGCATATTCCGAAGTCACCCAAGAAGTGTGGGACAAAGCATTCAACCCAGAAGACCTATCATGGCTAGTAAAACTTATCCCCATCGAGGTTCCCAGAACCTATTCAATCTCCAGCTTCTCTAATGAGCTCCTCCCATCCTCGTTGGATCTGACAGTATCACGCGTGGAGCATGATATCTCACCCACCCTTGCCTCTAGTACTGGTAGAGATGGATCCTACTGGGGCGTAAGCAGCGGGTTCCTAAATCCCCACCCCGAGGAAGAGAGAATCATCAACGAGATTCCCGGATTTGCAAATCTCGAAGATACAGTGCTCGTCGGCGTCTCTCGCCCGCTCAACTTCCAGCTTCCCATTTCTCCCGCAGCCCCAGTGGCCATGTTCGCTGGTGGATCCGGAATCGCGCCTTTCAGGAGCTTCTGGGCGAAACGTATCTTATCTGGGGCGGTTGGACGAAATATCCTATTCCTCGGAGTCCAATCTCGGAAGAAGTTGGTTTACGAGGAAGAGCTTCGTGACCACGTCCGGTACAACAACCTCGAGCTGCACACAGCGTTTTCACGGGACCGCAAGGGCCTCGTGTATGACCCCTACCTCCGCGACTTGGTGGACAAAGACATGGAGCCTCGGTATCTTGATCTAGCAATTGTCGAGAACGGCAACACTGTCTGCGACGTTGTAATGTCGACAAAGCTCGGTGGGCTGGGCGGATACCTCTACATATGCGGGTCCGTTTCCGTCTACGAGACCGTCATCTCTGGCATCCGGAAAGCGCTCTACAGCAACCGCGCAGTGACCGCGAAATCCGCAGACGACCTTCTGGCCACTGCGTTTGCGGAGCGCAGATTCATGCTGGATATATTCATGACGCCGAAAGACATGTCGTTCAAGGACCCTGTGATCTCCATCTCGGAGCTCTCGCGGAACACGGGGCACCGAGAAGGCTCAAAGACCTGGATTGGCGTCCATGGTGCTGTGTATGATGTTACCGATTTCCTGCCTATCCATCCTGGAGGGTCGCTCATCGTTGCTGCCAGCGCCGGTTTGGACGCGACAAAGACCTTCGATGATCTGGCCCATACGTCTAACCCAGAGGTTACAAGTCTGCTTTCGAAGTATTTCATCGGGTATATGGCGCCGAAGCCGCAATTACAGTCTGCGGAACTATCGTCGTTGTATGACGGGTGGCAGGAGTACCTCCGCACCTGTGTGGAGAGCTTGACAACCCTCTCATTTGAGGTCAAATCCCTCATGAAGGACGACCATATCTGGTTCTCCGGCGGCATGCTGAACATGGGAGGAGTGCGCAAATTCTACCAGGTCTGTAACCCCAACCCCGCCTTTTGAAAGAAAAACATGCTAAAGCAATCATTTCCACAGTTTCAATCGCGCCTGATGCAAAACGCATTTAGCGACCTGTTTGGCACAAAAATGCAGGAGTTGTACCTAAAGCTGACGTTCAACCTGATGGCCCTTCAGAACAGTGGGTCGCGCTTTCCGGATGTCATGGGGATTATATCCCGTGCGCAGTCGTCCCAGTCGGCTACTAAGGCGCAGAAGGAGATTGCCCAGATCGGAGATATGGTCTGTAATAGTGGGGCAGCGCAGTCTCTTGAGCGGGGCCTGATCAGATATGCCCAGTCTGTCACGGAGTTGGATGTGAGGTTCCTGGAGCAGATTCGGGAAGAGCTTTGCACAGGTATGGATGGGTTCGATCTAGTGGCATCCATGAAGACCACGACCAAAGAGAAACAGGTACGCCCCGAACCACCTCCGATATTCTGTAACTAGGTATGCTAACATTTAGTTTCACTAGCGGTTATTCAAAGTCTCCGCCTTCCTGATCTCCCTCCTCGAAAGAGTCGCCGAGCGCCTCGAAACCTTCTACGCCGAGATCGCCCAACAATCCGTCTACCACCCCAGCATCGAAGAAAACCCCGCCCGCGCCCGCTGGCGCCTCATCAAGCGGCGCATCAGCGACGGCAGCTTCTTCCTCTTCGCGCAAGAAGTCACGCTCGAAGGCCAGCCCGTCGACGAGATCAGTGAGCCCCTGTCGCCCTTCCAGCCGCTCCGCCAGGCGCGCATGCGCCAAAGCGTCTCCTTCAACCAGATCGTCTCGAACGCGCACGACATGGTCAACCGGCTCAACCACGGGCGCAGCATCGAGAGCTTCCTGCAGTCGAAGCCGCCGCTCCTCCACCACAACAACCACCACCACGACCAGCCGCCGCCGGTCCCCCGGAGACTGGCAGACATGCACACCACCCGCGCACAGGCACGGTCAGACAATCCGAAGTCGAGCTACACGGAGCATCTGGACCGCAAGGCTGCGAGCAGGATGACGAGCTTCATGAGCGAGAACGTGAGGGCGCTGCGGAGACTCAGCCGCATCCCGCTCGATATCGATCCGGCGGCGGTGCAGCATGCGATGAGTGTCTATGGTGGCTCGAGCCACGGCGGCAGTCACGATGGTGGTGGTGGTGGTGGTGGTGGAGCGCGCAGGATGGCAAGGCCGTTAATACCCGCGGAAAGTGTCAGCAGTAGAGCGAGTTCGCGGGATAGGAGTATAAACCGGTCGGTCACTATGGAGAGCCTGGAGACGCGGACTTCGTCTGCAAGGCCGAGTCATGCGCGGGCGGAGAGTGTGGCGTCGAGGTTCTCGCCGGCGCATATGCATGAGAGGTCGGCGTCGGTGGCGTCGGCGTCGAGGGTGCATCGGAAGTTGTCGATATCGTCGGTCGGTTCGCTGGGCGGGGGTGGGGGTGGGGGTGGGGGTGGTGGTGATCCGATGAGTAGGGGGTTGGAGGCGTTGAAGAAGAAGTTTGTTGTGTAGCTGTTTGGTGTTTTGGGTGGAGATGATTTGATGTATGACTTTGCGTTTAATGATTTTTGGGTAATTGGATACGATACGCCTTGATGGCTGGATGGGTTTGGGCAGATTACATGTAGTTATAGAGAAATACAAGAACAATTCATGACATCCTGGCTATATGTACTTTCACTCCATCTAACAAACAACAATTGCGGTAACATAACAGCCGTAAACCAATCCTCTTCACAAGTTATCACTCGCACCTCCAGACCGGGCGGTCCTCACCTTTGCAACTTAAGTCAAGCCGTCCGTCCACGTTGTATCCACATTCCCCCCCCTCCCCCTCCCTCCCTCCCTCCCTCCCTCCCTCCCTCCCTCCCTCCCTCCCCACCCGAGAGCACCCCGCGCCCGCTACATGTACAAGTAGAAGTACCAGCCGGCCAGTGTGCGGAACGAAGATGAACCGCTCCGGTCCCGGGGCCGGGGACATCCGGCTACGTGTTCTTCATGGGCGCGGTTCGTCGAGTGAGAGCATATGACGCAGTTTGGCTCACTGGAGGCACCTGCAGGTTGGGCCGGTTGGTGCTGAAGTAGATTATCTCCGCTTCGTTAAATCTTAATTCCGGGTTTGGGGGGGGGGGGGGGGGGGGGGAAGTGTGTATCCGTACGAATCCGTGAAGTCTGATAGGTCCGGACTTGTCACATACAAATACGGGGATAGTGGATTTTTTTTTTTTTTCGAGAATTAACGGTACATGTAGAGTAGGGTACAATACTTGTAGAGTATGCGTGCGTGCGCAACGCCGGTGGTGGTAATGATCGCCGTGCAGAACGCTTCACGACGTCGCGATCACCACTGGCCTGAAAACAAGAACCACTGCAGTATTATAACCAGAATCTAATCTAATACTATCCGTTTTTAATCCCATCTCCGTCTTCAGAACACCACAAACACAGTACAGATACTAACACTACCACTACCACTACCACTAGCTAACAGTACCAACAACAGCTATATAGAGAGCGAGGAAGTACATGTAGTAAAAGCATACAATAAAACGTACATAGTAAAGACGTACACAAAAAATGTAGTCTGTATATATTCCCCCCCCCCCCACCCACCACAAATCAAAAGCCACACAGTCAAAATTCTACACACATACAAGCTTTATCTCAGCGCATGACAACATCAAGGGAACAATAAGAACAAAGCGAGGGGGTAAAAAAAAAAGAATTATAATCCATAAATCCAAGCTCAAGTAAAAAGATGCTGGGATAGGTAAAGAACTAGGTAGGTAGGTAGGTAGTATAGTAGATAGGTAGTGACTAAACTAGAGTAGAGTAGAGTAGAGTAGATAGGCGGCAAAAATTGTAATAAGAAAGAAGAAGAATAAGAAGAAGAAGAAGGTAAGGGAGTCGATCCAATAGCAGTCTACAAGCCATACAGGCAAGCAGGCAGGCAAGCGGTGCAGAACACTAACACACAGAGACACAACACACTCAGACACAACAGACTATCCTAGATAACAGAAAAAAACCCACGCCCAACTCCTCCAGCCCTTACAACAATAAACAAGAAAAGAAAACTAAAAAGTCTGATCATGAATAAAACACATCGAAAAAAAAGAATATATAAGAAAAGCCACTAAAAGGACTACAGGAAGGCGATAAAAGAAAAAGAAGAAACAGCCACCACTCTACCCAAACAACTTCATAACCCCCCACACACCCACTGCACTCAGCACAGGAATCGTCACATTATCATCAAGCCCAAACGCATCCACCGCCTCACTCGCGCTCGCAATCAAGCCCGTCACCAGGCTCATCAAGCCAAGCGCCCACCCGCCCTCCACCTGCATCCCCTCCACCCCCAACCTCCCCGCCCACGTCACCGCATTCACCGGATCATCACTCCACCTCTGCGTGCCGGGGACCACCACGCCGAAAAACATCGCCGCCGTCACCGCGCCCACCACAAACGACGCCAGACTGCCGGCCAAGCTCTTTCCGCGCCTGATGCGCGGGGTGTAGCGCCCCCAGGCGCGGCCCACCGTCGACGCGGCCGTGTCGCACCACGACAGCAGCAGGATCGACAGCACGGCGATGTCCTTGGGGAAGACGGTCAGCACCGTGATGGTGCCCACGAGGTACCACACGACGCCGTTCCAGCCCGCCACTTCGGACTCGCGCATGAGCGCGCCCAGGCAGCGGATGTACAGGTTGTTGAACTCGGGCGAGTAGAAGCGCAGCAGGTCTGCGCTCGCGATGGGGATCAGCGCCGTGATGAGCGGCGGGGTGATGGTCGTGGGCTGGTAGCCGGTGCGGTACATGTGCAGCACGATGAAGCCGATCGAGACATGGAGGAGCTTGCGGGGCACTTCATGGCGGTGAATCTAGATCTGCCTGTTAGCATACAAGCTGTTCTAGCTAGCGCTATGAGATGGGATTTGTTTCTTACCAGAGATGAAAACTTTCGGTGGATAGGGATCAGGCCGAGGGGACTCGGGCTCCTTGAGAAGTTACGCCATACGCTGGCTGGCGTTGGCGGGGAGAGGTAGCCGTTGCTTGGGACGGTCTCTAGCGGCGCGGGAGGCGCTTTTCGCTTCTGGAGCGGGGAGCGGGAGCGCGCGCGCGATATGCTGTCGGAGGAGGTCGCGGAGGTGTCCGAGTTGTAGCCACCGTCGCTTGTGCTGTGGGAGTCGAGTTTTGCGACGTTGTTGAGCGAGGTGGAGGATGATGCGGGGGAGGACTGGAGGGACGAGGACATTTTCGAAAGTGGTGGGGTATTTCGATTCTATTGGTTGAATGTGGTTTTTTTTTTATTTATTCTAGTTGTTTGTGGAGAATGTATTAGGATGTGTAGTTGTGGGTTGTGATGGTGAGATGGTGAGATGCGATCGATGCAAGGGGTGATGTTTCTGGAACAGTGTCCTTCTAAGGTGGGAGTGTGTGCGGTGCGGGTTGATGACTGTGGAAGGTGAGCAGGAGGAGCGGAGAAGGGAGGAGAGAACAACAACTGAGCAACTCGGGAGGGCTGGGGAAAGAAAGGGCAGTTGGTAGTGTGACTGACAACACCCTGAAGTGCAGTTGAAGCTTTTCGTCGTTTTCTTCTCTTTCTTTGCTTTTTCCTCTTTTTTTTTTTTTTTTCGGTCTTGCGCGCAAAGTGGAGACCTAAGACAGTTCGAGTCGGGGCAGCAGAAGCAAAGAAAAGAAAAAAAAGTGAGAGAGAGAGAGAGAGAGAAAGTAGAAAACACGGCTGACTTACTTTACTGACTCGTAACCTCTCAGATTGCAAAAATGAAGACGACGACGACTACTTGAGCTCTCTCTCGCTCACCGCAGCAAACCAGCACAAGAACAGGTCTTGGACAAAAGGCAAGGATCAGCGGGGTGTAATAATGATGCCGTGGCGCATAGAATGGAAAGAGAGGAACAGAGCAGCAGATTCACAGCAACAGCAACAAACACAGCTGCTACAGACACAGCTGCTACAAACAAATACAAATACCAGACAGATGCAATACAATAAATAGAAGTCAACAGAACAGACCAGATCTCCAAATCCCCGTTTCCAGGACGCTCTCACGCACTGCAAACCAAACACCTGAATGAATCGAGATCCCTTATTGCCATTCGGGCCAGCTAGCTACATGCTCTTCCCCACAACACAACCTCCTTCCTTGACTTGCACCAACCACCCACAACCCCCCCCCCCCCCCCCCCAACGGCAACGGAACCTTACTGACCCGCCGGCAGAGAATTTACCTCGCAGCCCAGGATAGGCCCTAGAGCGCTCACTGCTTCCAGCTGTGTGCGTCATTTACGCTGCCTGTTTGGCCTTAGTTATGGCTTGTATTGGCATTAGTCAGGGGCTGTGGGGGGGCGAAGACTCAAGAAACTCTCACTGGGCTGCTAGTGTGCAACATGTGACAACCAGGAAAGAAAAAAAAAATGCCGTTTTGGCACGTGAAAAGCCCTAACCCTCCGCTTCTGAGACATCTTTCTGGAACATTTGGGCAGGGACCTGGCACCACGCAGGGCGGACCGGGGTTGATAAGATCTGTCCTTCTGGGCGCTTCGCTTGTGCACGGAATATCACTCGTGTTGCTGGGCAAACCCCTGCTGCGTCCCGTCATGTGCTATCACTCGCTGGGCAACACGTCACACGACGGTCCACGTCCAGGAGTGGGCGTTTGGGAATGACATGTCTATGACACTGCCGGAATATCATCTCATCGCCTGGTGCTCCTTACAACGTTTAAAACGGGGATGTTTTGCAGGTTTCGGCTATCGTGAAAATGGAGATCGAGGAATATTCCCCCATTAATTATATCGTATTCTAAATGGCCATGGGTAGAAAGCCGGAGCTTATTTTTATCTCGGAATGACATATGCGCGTGAATGGGTGGCTCCAATCGCAGATCCATGTATTTCAAGATATCGAAAATCTTGTTTTTTGCTGGAACCGTTGCAATAGGCTAGCACAAGGCTGCTGGATAAAACGTGTACACGATCAGCGGATGGCGCGTAGTGCTTGGTAGATGTGCGTAAATAGACGTTGCACCCTGAGGGACCGTTACTTAGTCTGTTTGACATCCCCAAAGTCTCTGATAAGGCTTCAACAGCGTTCAGAAGTGTTTTATCGATAATGGGCTCTCTCAGCCACATACCACTCTGTTGAAAAGCCCGCTAGATAGGTAGCTGGCCTAGCACCAGTGGATAGGGCCGGTACCTGCATAACACCTGTACGATGAAGTCAACACCCGTCAATAACAGCTCGCAAGAGGAGTTTACCTGTTCTAAAACGTGTCCACCACCCTCTACTTAAAGCCCAATCGCCTCCAACTAACCCCCCACGTCCCTCATCCCTCCAATCAGCTCTGAAGCACCGCCAACACCTCTCAGCACAATGTCAACCACCTCCGACCCCGGAAGCTCCAGCACCTCCACCTCCACTGTCACTACCGCCCCCCCATCTTCATCCTTCACCTACAGTTACGTCCTCTCGGACGAGCCAGCGTCGTCTTCTCCCGGGACCGGGCTTTCAAACCTGCGGTCCCGTTTCCGCAAGACCGGAGGCTCCTCGAGACGGCCTGTTGCTGGCAGTAAACGAGATGGGGAGGCTAGTGGAGAAGGGCAGGATGGACAGGGTGAACAAGGTGGGAGGATGCTCATCGGGGGATCGTGTATAGTACAGTAGGTAGGGATACTGTAGTGTGCTGGTTGATGCTGGCGATGGTAGAGGGGACTGGTGATGCTGTCTGGGATTGATGGGGGTCGGGCCTGGTGGTAAGTAGAGGTGATGAGAATGCCTTTGCTGCTGCTACTATCTGTGTGTTGTGTGAACTCGATTGCTCCGTGTGGGAATCGATGGACGCATTCATCCATAGATAAAGACATGTGAGCTAAAGCGCCGTTGATCAGCCTAAGCTAGTTGATTGGTGATGAGAGTGATGCTTGTGTTGACTGGACAATCTCACCTAGTCTACCAGTCTTATCGTTTTTCTTCGTCTTATAGTTGTGCATTCCTATCATGATCACCCTATGGTGCTCCAGTTCAAAAGTCATCGTCCGACAACAAAAACACACCAAAATTCGCCAAAACATGGCATTTGCCCACAACGCAATAACACTGATAAATTCCTGGTATTGCACGGACAGATAGACATACTTATAAGTACCTTAATTTATACATTTCGCGCCCAGGCAATAGTTATAAAAGTAGTTAGATTGCTCAGTATGGGTGTGATTTTGGTCTTGGCACAGTTCATGCAAGAACTGATCCGAATTTTTAGATTTTATGTTGCTGTCAGGCTTTCTTTTTGTAACCTTTTTTTCCTTCGCCATGACGTAAAGACGGCGCATTTTGAGGTACTCTATAACTAAAACGATGCCTCATAGATTACTGAAAAATATAATGGTTAGGATGAGTTAGAGGGGGGGGGGGAAAAAATAATAAATCACTGGGACACCAGATATCACTCGGCGATGTTCCCGCATCTTCATTTACAACTTCATACATCCGCATGCGTTAGTGGAGATTTAGGCCAAAGTTCGCAGTACCGTGCAGAATATAGAGAGTGATAATCATGATGTGTTCATTTGCTAAACGATAATAAGAAACCTACCCACCACTCAAATGAATTCGGAACATACACTCGGAAATCTCGCATCGTACCATTCATCCTAAGTACGCATAGGTAATCCTGCCTTTCTTTCCCTAATCATACTCTATTCATCCACCCCATGCATTCCCAATATAACTAAAACTAAAAGCTAAGGGCTCGTTACTGAAAACATTGTATTTCTTTCTCTTTCTTCTCTTTCTTTCTTCGATTTCCCCCCTTTTTTTAAAGTCTCGCCATCACCCATCCAGCAATTGATAGAAAGGAAAAAAGAGAAAAAAATGTAAAAAAAAGGGAGAAAAAAGAATTCCTACACGACACACGACAAACACATACACATAAACATACGGGGGCCTAACTATAACCACCATGGCACAGGGAGAGGAAAAAAAATTGTAGAAAAGGAAAATAATGAACATGAAAAAAACGGAACGCCCCTCAAAAAAACAACAACGCAAAACAGAAACCGGATGATAAAAAAACAGACAAGTACACACACTAGTAGAAGGAATATAACAGAGAGAAAAAAAGGTTAAAATTATCGATCAATCGATCGAATACCGAGTTAAGGAACCGCACAGGAAGAAGAAGATAACAAGAAGATAAACAGGTATTTTGGACTACCCCACCGCCGCCACCGCCGTAAAACTCATGTGTCCCATTCTAGTACTTGACTGACTGCGCAAATAGCTCCCCAAACCCGGCCGGGTACTCGGACAATTTTCCTGTCCACATATTCGCGACCGCATCCTTCATGGCCTGTGAGCCAAATGATGAATCGACAGGCCAGACCATCACTGACGATAATTGCTTAATCGGAATCTGCGAGCAAAAATCAGTATACGACTCGATGTTCAGCATGAGAGGGCTAAAACTTACTCCTTCAACCTGAGCCCTAACATCAATCTTCACCTCACTCTTTCCCATGTTCAGCACACCCGCGTTCTCCTTCAAGGCCGCCTTGGCAAAGACACCGCTTCCAGAGCTTTGTCCTTGCTGTTGTGAGAGCCCCTTCTTCTCGCCCTTGCCGCTGCTACTGCCTTCGCCGGCATTCTCCTTATCGGGTACATTCTCCTTCTCGTCCTCGTCCGCGCACCGGCTCTCACGGAGCGACGATGGCGCGGTAGGCTTGAACCTTTCAGCAGCGTTCTTCTGGCGCTGGAACGGAGTAAGAGGCGTCTCCTTGGATGGTGACATGCCAAGGCCGAAGCCACCCGCTGGCTGTGATCCAAAGAGGCCTCCGGAGAGAACAGGGGGTGAAGCGGAAGCTGTGAGCGGTGCGGGAAGAGTAGCGTGGGACATGGTCGGTGGTGGTGGCGGGCCATCGGAAATGTTCTCCTTGTCGGAGGTGTCTGAAGCAAAAGACCAGGCCGGTGCAGCGTTGAAATTGATAGTGGGGGCATCGGTGGGCGGGGGTGCCGTATTGATCTTGAAGGGAATATCGCCGGCTTTGACCTCGGGGTTGAGGAGGAAGCTGGGCGCGGGCTTTGAAGGGGTAAAGAGATTCCGTGATGGGGCGGTAGTGGGGGACTCGCGGGTTCTCTTGACGGGGGATGTTTTAGGAGGGGAGCCCGGAGAGGGGAGAGTTGTTGATGCTTCCTCGGCGGTCTCTTCAACGGTGGGATTGAGAGAGGTGCGCCTGTTTTCTTTCTCTTTGCCTTTGCCTTTGTCTTTGGGAGCCTCTGAGTCTGAATCGGGCATGATCTCGTCGTCGTCTGGGATGGGCTGGCCTAATGCCTTGAGGGCTTCACGCATCTCATACTTATCCTCTAACTCGGCGATCTTGCGTTCCTTTTGTCTCTGCTTGAGGAGCTTCAACTTCTCTTCTGGTGTGAGCTCTGTCTCTTCCTCTTGAGTAAGCTGGACCTTCTCCTTCGGGGGTGCCGCGCCCGTGCTTTTCCTCGCGTAGGGATCGTAACGTGGTGTCTTTTTGGCAGAACGCATCCGCTCGATGAAGTTGTTTGGCTTACGCAGACTAGACACTTCAATGGTGGGTTTGCTGTGCTTGAGAGGAGTGCTCATTGTTGACCTACGTTCACGTCGAGAAGGTGCAGTACTCGTCGTAACCTTGGGCTTATCATAAATGAATAAGCCAGAGTCATTTACCCTGGTAGGAGTACCACCGAAGCTTTGAGAAACCTCCCTGCTGTCGTAGTGATCATTGGTTTTGCTGTTACTCCGGTAGTCCAGCTGGAGAGACGTTGTCATAGATGATGGTGATGGTCTCTTGGGCTCCGGTTTACCAAAGGATCCCGGAAGGGAGTAAACATCGTCGTTCTCATCATCTGCACCATCCTTCCGGGGAGTACCAATGACAAGCTCCTTAGTTGGCGTGATAACCTTCGCCTCCATGTCATACGGATCATCATCGGGAGCGCCAAGAATAGCCTTTACGGGTTTCTTGACGCTCTCCGGTAAGATCGAACCAAGCCACTGTCCCCACGTCTTCTTTCCCGTTGCTGGGGTAGACGGTGCTCCCTTTGGCGATCTCGTGGGGGTCTTCTTCACAGGGCTTGGTGTCTTCGTGAAAAGATTTCTACTTGGGGTAATTTTGAATGAGTACTCATTGGCTGGTCTCTCCAAGCCTGCATCTACTGGATCCTCGTCAGTCGGCACCTCATCTTCATCGTCATACTCCTTGGCGCCGTGCATTGTATATGGCGATCGTTTGTCTGATGGTTCTTCATAGCTGGTATCTGAGATGAGCTGAGCCTCGTGGTTATCAACGCTTCCGTTACTCTGGGAGGCGGCTTTGGCGCGCTGGAGGGCCCGTGACGTAGTAGTCGAATAGGGGGTGCTTCGAGGAGCGCGGCCAGAGCGTTTAGGAGTTATGAGGGAAGAGTTGCGAGAGTTCCGGGAGCCAGAGGCATTCTGCGGGGTGTACACAGGGAACGAAGCACTTAGAGACTGCGACGAGTTGGAGTCTGAAAGCTTTGTTAGCCTCATTTCGGTGGTTGTATGTATGACAGCAGGGAGGCAGAAGTGATGTGCAACAGTTGTAGCTTCGCCACAAAACAAAGAAGAAAAAGAGACAAATAACAAAGCAAATAGTGCAAGAACGCGAAAATGAAAGATAAAGCCTACCTGTACCATCCAAGCTCATTCTCCCCTTCCCCTTGACCTTCTCAATCTTCTCAAACCCACTCTTATTCCCACTGAAAGACACCGACAGCTTCTTGCTCTCGTCGCCCATAACCTCATCCTCCTCGTCATCACTGAAGAGACCAAACCCTAGTCTTTTCGCGGGCATGGTGGAAGTGGTGGCACGGGTACTGGATTTGGCTTTGACGGGCAGTGACGACGGGCGCCCGTTGCTGTGTCCAAGGCTACGGCTGAGCATCGACGACGTCGTCGGGCGGTTAAGGGCCATCGCGGCTATGGGGTTGTGAGTGTAAATGAGAGATTTGTTTCTTTAAGATTATGTTTAGGTGTTTTATGTAGGGACAGGACAGTTAGTGGTTGTGGATTTATGATGGGCTCTGGCGAACGTTGGGAAGGGTTGTTGTTGTCCAAGCGACAGAAGGGAAAAAACTGGGTGGGTCCATCGCGATGTCTTGGCGGGGAGGCTGGGGTCTAGTACTGATTGGGGAAGCCAATGATTGACTGGTGGTTTCCTCCAGAGCGGGCTATTTCCCCCCCTCCCGCACTGTGAAACGTCAGATATGATGGACATGACATGACGACGCGTGAAATTGTTTTGGGAGATCGCATAGAGAGCCCTCGTTTAGAGGCGGAACTCCGAAGAATATCAAGGCAAACAAAGACACAATGATAGCATCGAGTGGCCAGGTGTACCCCGCCTTTTGGATCCCTTACTTCCATTATCACAAGGCTCGTCTCCTTGCCCTGAACTTTAATTAAACTCTGCAGAAACTGCTTTGTTTACTGCTGGAAAACTATCCTACAAGTCACGCCAGGATTTCAGAAAGAACCATCGCCGTACAGATCAGAGTATTTTAATTCTAGCCGGCCATAGGAACCATTCCATGATCATATGAGCGTTGGTCGATAAAAGTTAAGTGAGTTGATACCAGCTAAGTATGAGACACGTCACAGAGTGAATGCTCCCTCCTCAAAAGACACGCCTCTGCACGCAACATACTTAACTTACAGATGATCACATGGTACGGGATAAACAAACCTCCAAGCTGGAGTTCCATTTCGACATTCACGCCATCTATGAACTGCATACATACTAGACTTTGGTGCGTCTTATCGATTGGCATTTAGAATGGGCCTGGAGTCATCTCTTCTCCAGGAGGACCAGCCATCCTAACGATGTCAAATTGCACAGATCAACGCATCGGACGGAAAGCTCTTTCAAGTAAGACTACAGGCAGGTACGGAGTGAACTTAGTTATTTCTGGGGAAAATACGATTAACGATTATATTATAGGTTTAAACTAAGGTCGCTACGGATGCAATGCTCGTCCTCGAAAATGACATGCTACGAGGTTATTGTACTCCACGCATGGTTATCAGAAAACCAAGTATTACTTTATTCAATCTATTGAACTGATTTCCATCTATAGTATCGCATCGATTGAATTTTACTTTTGCGCAGTCACCTCGGGATCTTTCAGCCTGTTAAGAAAGAGAAAAAATTAAAATTAGGGGAGGGAACGCCATTCCTTGATCTTCTCTACATATATACACTAGTTCGGGCTCTAATCCCTATCTTTCCTAGAGTCCTGACAATATTACAAAGATAGAATGGACCGGTCTAGTTTAATTCATTTAACTACGAAACACGTCCATTCTGTCAAAGTTTCAAATCGAAACATATACAGTGCAGTCACTCTGGTTCTGGAAAAGTACAAATATTTGAGTTGTCGTGTCGACGGCTCCTCCTCTCATGCTTACATGAGCACTTGATGATCTCAATTCCCTTCAAACACTAGGGGTGTAATTTGACCGGCATTGTGGGAGAATGTCCAATAAAATCTACATTCCCCACGGAGTGATTCCTCCAAGCCTTGTCGTAATAAATGACTCCACATATCTCCTTCTGCAAGCTTCTGTAGCAATTTCATCCGTTTTCTTGGTACGGTTGATTGCAACAAAAACCAAATCACCGATAATCACTCGCACACTAATCGCTCACTCCCACAATACTTCTCACTTGGAATACTTTAGCATCTTACAGCGTCTTCTTTTATCTCTTCTATCACTTCAAATCCTCACTCAATACTTTTGTAGAAATCTCTTGGCAGCGCTGGTTAGGGCTAGCGCCAAGACTCTACCCTGCATCCACCAACTCGATAAGAATTTTTTTCCCTCTCACGACACAACGCAACCTCCCAATTACCACCACAAATACCCAACAGCCATGCCATTCGAGAATAAACAAAAGAAGCGCAAGGGTAAACAATCCATCAACCTACCCCTACTTACCAATTGAAACAACTGCTAACCTTAACATGTAGCCGCGGCCAGCGCGCCCTCGCCCACTGCCAAAAAGGCGAAACCCTCATCCTCTACCGTCCCCGTTGTCGCCGCGGCCCCCAAACCGGCAATAAGAGTCTCCAAGCGCAACAAGGCTGCCGACTTCATGTCCGATGGCGAAGAGTCTGAAGATGGCGGCTGGGATGCGCTCGAGGACAAGAAAGGCAAGAAGGACAAGAAGAGCACCAAGGCGGCCGCTCCTGCTACCGTGAAAGAGAAGAAAGAGAAGAAAGAGAAGAAGGGAAAGAAGAAGGATGAGGCCGCCGTCCCACCCCCTGTAGAGGAGAAGAAGGTGGAGGAGCCAAAGGCAAAGAAGGACAAGAAGAAGAAGGATGAGGAGGAGAAGTCAAATGAGGAGGAAATTATCTCCCTTGACGTTGACTATCCAGACTCTGGGCCAGCAGAGGGATATGACAGCGCGGATGACAGCGCAGAGGAGGAGATTGACGACCAGACTGCGAAACTCTTGCAAGGGTTCGAGAGCTCCGATGAGGAGATGGAAGACGGGGATGACGCACAGAAGGAAGTGAGTGAGGCTGATAAGTCAAAGTTCGCGGATGCGAAGATTCCGGGTGGGAAGAAAATGCAGAAGAAGATGGCCGCGCTCCAGGCCAATGAAAAGGTATGTTTCAGAATTCCTTTATTTTTAACTCCCCCACAGGATAATGCATGTTACATTTCCTGGCTTGATATGATGCTTTTATCTCGTAGCTCAGTCAGACATTCCGTGGTTAAAAAGTTTAAAACCAATAATAATTAGAACTGATCTTGCAAACATCTTTCACTTATATTCATACCACCGTTTCATATCATATTACCAATTCTAACAGATCAACTACTCTAGTCCGTTCCAGGTGTTGTTTACCTCGGCCGCATTCCCCACGGTTTCTACGAAAACGAAATGCGCTCCTACTTCTCTCAATTCGGCAAAGTCACCCGCCTGCGCCTCTCCCGCAACAGGAAGACCGGCCACAGCAAGCACTACGCCTTCATCGAGTTCGCGGACGCCGAGACCGCTAAAGTCGTCGAGGAGACCATGAACAACTACCTCCTCTTTGGCCACATCCTCAAGTGCAAGCGCGTCCCTATGGACGACAAGGACTTCATCGAGCTGCTGTTCAAGGGCGCAAACAAGAAGTTCAAGCCCCATTCAGGCATGAAGGCGCACAAGGCAAGACACGAGAGGAAACACACAATCGAAGGGTGGAAGGAGAGGGAAGAGAGGGAGAGGAAAAAGAGAAGGAGTATCACCAAGGGCTTGAAGAACCTCGGAATCGACTACGAGTTCGAAGCCCCAATTGTCACTCCGGAATTCGTGAAGGCCATTGAGGCTGCAGAACCCGCGAAGGCCATTGAAGCGGCTAAGCCGGCTGCTGAGGCTACCCAAGACGCTGTTGCCGAGAAGAAGGCTGCTCCCGAGAAAAAGACCGCCGAGAAGAAGACCGCCGAGAAGAAGACCACCGAGAAGAAGACTGCCGAGAAGAAGGCTGCCCCCGAGAAAACTGGCGATACCCCCGAGAAGAAGAAGAGGAGGAGAGTCTCCAAGAAAGCCGCTGCCGAGAGGGATGCCGCTGCGCAGAAGGATGCTGCGGAGAAATCCGCTACTGAGACTGCCGCAGTTGTTAAGACCGCCGCGGTTGTTGAGGCAGCTGTAGAGAGGGCTGTTGAATTCGTTGAGGCCTTGGCAGAGGCAGGAGACGGGATTGAGGAGATGGAGGTCGATGTGGTCGTCAAGAAGGGAAAGAAAGCCAAGGCCGCTGCTCCCGAGAAGAAGACAGCCGAGAAGAAGACCGCCGAGAAGAAGGCCGCCCCCAAGAAGAAGGCTACCAAGGAGGCCGCTGCTCCCGAGGAGGCGGCTGTTGTCGAAGAGGTAGCCGCTCCCGAGAGGAAGAGTAAGAGAGGCGCCGAGAAGAAGGCCGCTGCGGAGAAGGCTGCTTCCGAGGAGGCGGAGAAGGCTGCGGAGAAGGCTGCGGAGAAGGCTGAGAAGGCTGCGGAGAAGGCTGTGGAGAAGGCCGCAGAGAAGGTTGAGAAGGTCAAGAAGCCAGCCAAAAAGTCAGCCAAAAAGTCAAAGGCGTAATCTTTTTTCGTTTTTTTTTTCCCTTTCTCTCTCTCCAAGTTTTTTTTTTTTTTTTTGATGGGGGAGTAATTGTAGCTTAGCCTATATAATTTTTCGCCAACCACAAAAATTCTAACCCCAAAAAAGTCAATGTGTGTTTTTTTCTCTTTTTCTTTGTTTTTTTTTTTGGCCAAAAAAGATTTTGTAAGATAAATTTTAGCAATGATGAAATCATGGGCGCCGGCGGGTATGTTGTAAATTTTTTTCAGGCTTTGTTGATCGGAAGGCCGGTGTAGGCCAGGCACATCTAGTTGTTTGTTCTACACACTGCGTACATATTCCTCGTAGAGAGAAAATTTTGGTTTGAGAGAATCCTTTTTTTCTAGCTAGCCAGACCCAACTATCACTTCAATTGAAGCCCGGGAAAGACTTGAAGCAACTACACACTACAGCACTACTTTACAGCACTCCAAAGCCTATGGCCCATTAACGATAACTTCTAATAGACAGACCGGCAGCCCCGGCCCCGTAGTTTGTAAAGAAGCCAAAAACATCTAAAAACACCGTCTTTAATGGTACTTGGTATTTCAATCTCCTTAAACGGTAGAGCATCGTTAACCTTATATACCGTGCCCAAACTCTTTCTACATGCAGTTATAGCCAAGAATCAAACAAATTCTAGCTAACTAAAAAAATGATAATTGGCAATGTGAGGTTTTGGAAGCTGGTCATTCATCCGCACTCTTGATTTCTTTTTCAGCTAGATGCCCTTTCTCGTATTGGCCGCTTTGTTTCCTAGGTGCAACAACTTCAATATTATTCATGATGGTCCAGCTTGATCCATGGATCAAGCTGGACCATAATACATTCCATCGGCCAGGGCCGAATTCCTTGACAACTATAAATGACGGGAAGGAGCGTAAGCTACGATCTACAAATTAATCTATATACAATCAAATCTTTTTCTATACCAGTAACAAAACCTACACATGAGCTTTGAAGGCTCGAGCTCGGCAATAATCACAATTAAAACTTGTTCACAGCCAAATGTGTATGCCAATGACCCATTCCCCAGTCTAACACGGTGCCTAGTTGAAAGCGTTATCTCTAGGTCGTCAATTGATCACTCGTCGCGGTGGTGGCACCGGCTGGCCAACGCCTACATGTAAACTTCCCCATGATGGAATTCCAATGCACTCGATCGGGAAAGCAGCATATCTGACTCCTCAAGACTCAAGAGTCGAGTCATGATATCAATTGACGCTTCCTCCACCCATCGGTAGCCAGTGCAGTGCAGTGCAGTGCAGTGCAGTCATTGCAGTCATTGCATTGAGCTGCGGCCCCCACGATCATTACCAACCATGGCTTAGTTGCCGCCCCACCTTGAACCAAGACATCCAACCATTTACCTGCACCGCGGCCTCAACACCACCGCATCCAACAACAACAACCCCCCACCTCACTCACTCACCTTCCACCCCACATCCGCGACTCACCCAGAGTCAGTCCCACTCTCTCACACACACCACCGCCCTCACCACCACCACCACCACAATGCCACTGCCAACCACCCTCCTCCGCTCCCTCCCGCCTATAAAGCGTCGCTCCCTCCTCCTCCCTCTCCCCCTCCGCTCCCTCTCCACCCAACCCTCCCCCAGCGCGCCCACCCCCTCAGCCGAAACCGAAACCGGAACCGGGACCAACCCCAGGCACCCGATCCGCACAGTCTTCATTCCCCCCAGCCCCAAGCCCTTGATCCGCAAAGTCGAGTTCAGTCCCCCCGAGGGCTCCAAGCCGCTCGTCCGGCGCTACGAAAGCCTCCCCAGCTTCGCCTTTGGCACGGGGCGGCCCGTGGAGTGGGAGGCCGGCGACGGCCCACTGATCCGCAAGACAGGCGCGCACTGGAGCGGCGCCTCGCCCACGATCCGTCGCGAGTTCAACTACTTTGCGCCGGCAGAGGCACCAGCGGAGGAGGAAGGGAAGAATCCAAACAGAATTGTCATTGGGAGGAAGAAGCCGGATATGACTGCGCCGGGACACTCGACGTTGGGGAACGAGGCGTCGGCGGAGGAGGGTGCGGCGTTTAGGAGGCCGAATATGAAACCGCTGAAACCGACGAAGTTGACGGTGGAGCAGCATAGGCTGGATAGGCCGGAGATTGAGACGACGTGGGTGGACACGCATTGTCATCTGTTTACGACACTGAAGATGCTGAAGCAAGTGAGTACCCAATCATTGGCCCCCTTCTCTTCCCCTGTCCCTTTCCGAGAGTCAATGATCGATTGACGGGTGGATATACTGACACTCGCACAGGGCAGCGGCGACACCACGCTCCCCGAGGACGGCATCGACAGCCTCGTGAAGGCCATATTCCCCGCGCAGGTCACCGCCGTCGTCGACATCCACTGCGACCTGCCACTGACCAACCTGCACGAGCACGGCGCCTCCCTCCCGTGGCCCCCACACTTCAAATACTACTTCTCCAAGGGCGTGCACCCGCACTGCGCCACCGACTACAGCGACGACGTCCACGCATCCCTCATCGAGGCCATGTCGCACCCCTCATGCGTCGCCTGGGGCGAGTGCGGCCTCGACTACTTCAAGAACGACGTCTCCACGCACCCGATCCAGCGCGCCGTCTTTGCGCGGCAGCTCACGGCCGCCGTGGCGGCCGGAAAGCCAATCATCATCCACACGCGCGCGGCGGACGACGACACGCTGCGCATCCTGCGCGAGCACGTGCCCAGGGACCACCGCATGCACGTGCACTGCTTCACGGCGGGGCCAGTGCTGGCGCGCGCGCTGATGGCCGAGTGGCCGAACGCGTACATCGGCGTGACGGGCGTCGTGGGGTATCGGGACATGGACCATGTCACGGGCTTGCTCGAGAGCGGCGAGATACCCGTGGGGAGGCTGCTGCTCGAGACGGATAGCCCGTATATGGCGCCGAGATGGGCGTACGCGTGGATGGCGGCGCAGACGCCCGAGTTGAAGAAGAGGAAGTTCATTGTGAGCCATGCGGGGATGATACCGTTCACGGCGGAGCATGCCCTGGCGCCTATCAATGCTGGGAGGAGGGCGAGGGGGGAGGCGGAGATGGGGCTGGTGGAGATGCTGGATGTGACGAGGGGGAATGCGGCGAGGATGTATGGGATTGATGTTTGAGGGGCTTTTTGTTTGGAAAATAAGGAGTTTTGTGCGGTTGGTTAGAAGGGTGGTTTTTTTTCCCTTTTACTTTTCTTTTTGTTCCTTTGTGTGCATATTGATAGTGATACCTATCTCGGCGGTGAAACCGCCGGAGCGAGAAGAAGTGGAAATAAAAAAAACAGCATGGGTATATAATGCGATCCATGTTTTGTCCACAGCTCATTTAGATCCGACAGGATGATTTATAACTGACGAAGATATTTTTTGGTGCTTTTTCGACATGATCATTGAACCCCCCCCCCCCCCCCCGGGGGGGGGGGGGGGGGGTGGTTTAGGTATACTCATCTGGGCGCAGAATACTATATTGGGTTCCGTGGAACATATTGTTCCCGTAAGAGTATCTCTGGATATGAAGTGCGAGCATGATTGATCTAGATAATCCAATCTACTGTCATCTAGGATCTAGGCTGCTGTATCTTAATATCCAGCGAGCATATAATCAATGAATTAACATCCAGCGACTCTGAACGAGTGATAATTCATGACTAGACACACTAGGATGCACCTAGTGTTCGGACACCAACGCTGAATACAAGACCGGCAGGGGGAGTGGGTTAGAGCAGGGGTTGAGGGCATCGGAGACGACCTGGCCTAAGAGAGTTGAGGTTGGGGCGGAGGAGATGGTAATCTTTCACCATGGAGCAGAGACACAATTACAATTACAATTATGTATAATGGTTAGCTAAGTGGCTATATTGGAAGAGTGGCAGGTAATAACAAATTCTTGGGTTTACTAAATTAGTCCTGGAACGTCTTTATAATTTAGCCCCGACCTATTCCTTTATATACATACTAGAGGTTTTCCCGTTTGTTACCAACCGGAATCATTTCAAGATGCCCAATCTCAATTTATACTATCGATTCAAACCAGGTTGGTGAATGAAATAACGCCTTACGTTTCTCTTTTCCCTGCTACTCTGGCCTGGAACCTTTTTGCCTTTGGAAGTACTTTCCCGGGCGGAGTAAACAGAACAATCATTTTATTGAAGGCCTGTTCCGGCATATTATATTCCAGTACACCCTTATATTCGTTCTATGTAGGGAGCCTGGGTGCAGGGGCCAATCATCACCCGCCATTTGCGAAATTTCTTTTCGTCCTGACCTTTTATATATTAGGAGATAGAGATTATACATCCAGCACAGGTATCACAGTCTCGAGGCCACCCAACTCTCTGTGGTCGAGCCCTTTTTACCACTGAGCAATCTTCGACGACCGTGCAGGAAGAAGTCATGGCATGGCTTTTACTAGTTATATGGTGCCCCCAGTCTTAAAGGTAACATGAGAAAAACGCCAAGTCCCTTACAACTTTTCAACCACGATAGATATTAAAAATCTGTCAGAACAAGTTCTAGAAATAGTAACAAACAATAGAATGACCTGATAGATTTTTCATATCTATCGTGGTAGAAAGGTTATAAGGGACTTAGTATTTTTCTCATGTTACCTTTTAAGACTGGGGGCACCATATACTCAGATCAGGCCGCCATACCCCGCGAGTGAGATCCCATGACTCAAACCAAAACCCAAGCCTTAGGCATACGAGCATTCCAATCCCCCCCCCGCGCCTTCAAAACCTCACAAACGGGAAAGAATCCTCACCCTCCACGCCAATCCCACGCCCGATGTGCCCCTAGAAACCAATTGGTCTCAAAGCATCTTCAGACCAGCGGGTTACAAGCTGCCACGTGCACCCACATGCCCCCCATCATGTACGTGAGGGTTCGTACGTACATGTAGCTACCCACGTAGCTATCTAGCATTCTTTTTTTTTTTTCCCTTTGCCTACTCTAATATCGTACGATAGTAGGTACATACCTCTCCCGGTGAATGCGTAAGTGATCATTGGTTCGAAGGTCGTAGGTTAGCCACATGTGTATACATAGAGCCAGTAGATGTAGGGAGGAGTGTGCACAGCCACAGGGGTGTTTTGTTTCGTTATGTCTCAATTGTGGTACCTTGCCTTGCCTTGTCTCTTTTTTCTCACCTTTTTTTTTTTCTCTACATACTTTCGAAAAACCATCGTAGCATATACGGCATTCTTGAATGCAACATCAAAATGCAGAATCCTCGCTTCCTCGCTTCCAAGCCGGAGACATACTAGCCAATGCCTATCCGCATACTCTACGGCTGGGCCGGCCGCCTTGTCCATCTGGTAGAGTAACTTACCTATAGCTTAGTTTAGCTTACCTCGCTGACCTACATACTACTCTACGGTAACTCTACCTTCTCACAAGATCACTCTGATTAACCACCACGCGCACACATCGCATCACCCACGCTCCTTCATCCACTCCCCCCAACGACCAGCTAACCATGTTCAGCCTCCGCTCGCTACTGCACCTCTGTCTTCCCTCCCCTCCCTCCGGCGCACAAAGCCCCACGACGACCCCCATCGTGCGAGTCTCCTCCTCCTTCACGAGCTCGAACACGGCGGCCAACAACCACACGTGTCCGCTGTGCCGCGTGCGCTTCAGCGTCCCTCCCAAGACGCTGTGCAAGAGCTGCGAGGTCTTCGCTAGCACCTCGCCGGTGCCAGTCGTGGTTGTGACTTTCTGCGATTGAGGAGGTACAAAAAAAAAAAAAAAAAAAAAAAGAGAGAGACCGCTGGTTGCGGTTTGTGTTTCTGATTCCTCCTAACACTGGAAAATGTGGAACTACTGCTAGCTATAGGCGCTGGGTGGATAGGATAGTTAGTTGGCGATTTAACCGGGCTTTTGGGGGGGGGGGGGGGGGGGGGGTTGGTATCGAGGTTGGTTCGCCGGGCTTTGCTCCTTCTTATCGTAGCTAGCTAGCTGGGTGAGAGATATGTGATGCTGATAAGGTCTAGCAATCAATAGGGCGGGAGCAGCTTTTACTCAATAGTGTTAATTCGATTCGGAGAGTTAATGTGGATCACGAGGGGGATAAAAAAGAGAGTATACTTACGCACTCTAGTGGAGGACAGGAGAATGGGGGAGTTAATGGGATGAAGGGGAAACGAGATCTAGAGGTCGATGGAGGAGGTTGAAAGCTGATGTCTTAGCTAGCAAGACACCACGCTTTACCCAAAATAGGAACGACTTGGATCATATCAACCCCCAAGGCATCGCCCAGCTGTTTCAACCCTCGTTTTCTCAAAAGTACTGAACCAAGTACATAGCAGGGAATGGGAAATAAAAAATAAAAAAACAGTGGAGGATGATAATGATGATGGATGAACGATTGTCTCAAGAAAAAGAAACGACATTCGGGTAAAACCAATATAATATGATTTTCCCACTAACTATTCGTTACCGAGTGATCCATCATGTCGCCCAGGCCCAAACAGGTGAGACACCAAAACCCTGTTCCAAGACTTTTCCAAGCCCGCCGCCCCAAAGCCTCCGCGCTAGGATTGAAAGCGGATAGCTTACCCGACCATCTGTATGACGGCATGTAACCATGTTTCTCGGTTTTTTTTTGCCTTCTGGAACCAGCTTTTCCTTCTAGAACCAACATTTCCCGGCTTCCTTTGCAGCTGCTACTACAAGTTACGACTAGTGTTGAAACCTGCCAGGAACAACGTTGTTGCCAGTAGCAGAAAAGAGTTCGAAGGGGGCGTAGACACTGGAAGGAGAAAGGAAAAGGGCCCCACATGCATCTTACATACCGTACTTTACTCCGCTACATCTAACACAAAACTCTATTCCCACCATGGATGGCATATATCTGCACAATGACGATCCAGCCTTTTGCACCTTGGAGTGTAACACACATACACAGCATACGTATCGACGATTCTTCCCCCCTCCCCACCTCCCGCCTCCCGCCTCCAACCAGGCAGCGCGCAGAAACAGGTCTCGCGGGAGTATCACGGATCAGATAAAACCCGGTACGTGTACTTGATACATAGAGTACTCTACACCCAGCCGTTCAATTCGGCAAGGTAAGCAGATCGGGTGAAGGGTAGGAAGGTGTCATGCTCTCAGCTTGCAACTCATCTCCGCAAGAAGTCTTCCATAAAGGATTACTATTTCTGCTCTAGCCAGTTTATCCAAGATGAAGAGCTCCTATCCCATCCAGTCGTTCCCTTTGGAGCGTACAGAGCCGATATTAACAATAATATGATCAGCAAATATTAACTGACCCCCCCCCCCATGATTAGTATCAACCAGTAGTCGCCTATTCTGTTTTGCCCATCATTCCTCTCTTGACCGCACACAAATCCGAGGTGTCCAGCCGAGAGTATCGATAGAGTAAAAGAGGAACCCCAAGACATGCGCAGTATCTGTAAAGTACCGGCACTGAGACTCCCGTGATGTTGAAAGCAGTTAAAGCTCCGACCATCCCCCTCCATTACCGTACGGCGGTAATATAATATGACGTCGATGGTCCTTGAAGGAGTAGTCTCAACACGGGCGAAACGCTCGGAGATTTTTGGAATAGAGGCTGAAAACCGTTTATGTACAATGTATGTACCTACACATCAACCCCAGGTATCATTATCGTGGCTGGCTATGTGCAACATCATCGTCAGATACGAGGTTAGAGGGAAAAAAAGACGATGTTGGCATCAGGGAACATCAATTCAGACAACGGGATCCCTGTAGAATTGTTAAAATTCTGTATCAGACTGAGAAAAACGAAATACTTCATCCGAAAATTCAGGTAACTTCACAGGGCAAGATCGACTGTAGATGGATTTGTTTCCCCACGCTAACTTGTGAGACCTGTCGAATCGGAATGGTTCAAGGGCAGTACCAAGAATTCCGTTTTACTGAGTGGCAGGAATACTGATCGTGGAGTGGTGGCCAACGGGAATTCGAGAAGGCGTCAATCATTTCCTTCTAGCTTCAAGGCCCTTCCACTTTTCAAGGAGACCTCGGGAAGAACACTCAGGATCGGTAAATTGAACCATGACCTTGTTTTCATCAAAAATCTCGCCATCAACCCTGGCCAACTTTAAAGAGTTGATATTTGCGATCCAGATTGATCGACAAAATCGTAATCTTTTGTTCTGTTCTCCCTTTCGCAGCTGCGCAGGGACGTGTCTTTGAATTCATTGCTGGCCCGCTAAGGTAGATAGGCGTAGATGTTGACGCAGGAACCACGATTGAAAACAGGCCGCCGGGGCGATGAGTTGTTACTCGGAGGTGGACGGGGGGGGGGGCCGGGGAGTCTAACCAGCCATGATAGTTAAGATGAGGTTTGCAGGTGTCGTCATATGTTGTTAGGAGGAGATGCGCTAGAGTGGGCCTGCAACCGTGAGCCAGTGACGAGTGATGCTTTGTGAATCAAAAGCTTTGACGAAACAACGGTGCTCACGGTGGTGGCCGCCGTTTCACAATTATTGTTCTTTTCCGCCTTTTTTTTTCTGCGGGCTGATTTCAACCTGGACGCCTTTTTTTTTTCTTTTTATTTTTCGTAATCACAGTCCTCCCCGCTCACCGTGTTCTCCGCGGATGCTTGGTGCTCTATGAATTCTCTATGTATGTAGGTTTTCCATCGGCTCTCTCTCTCTGTCTCGGGCCTCTTTCTATCGACCGGTGAGCGTGGTATTGGAGCGATCTGATCAGTCCTGCCTCTTGCCCGCATTCGTTCTGCATGAGTGGGTTCATGGCCCTCTCGGTCTCTCTTCTTTTGCCTTCCCCACCAGTTCGTTTCGATTGGGGGGTTGGTTTAACGTTGCGGTCCTGCAGCAGTAAAGCAAACGTATGTATGTAGGTAGTTGCAGCTATCCACTCGTGGCCTGTCCTTAATAGGTTACAGAACACATGAATGGTGCTGCACTTACTGGGGAACGCAGATCAAACCGGAATGTACCGCTAGGTTTAGTATGTACGTGGGGCGACTGACCAAACAGACAGACATAATGGCATGTAGGTTATTGCGTAAATTCATGATGCACACCAGGGGATAGATGGGAGGGGAGTGGAGGGGGGGGCGAAAGGCGGTGAGGGGAGCCGAGATAGTGTGAGAGAAAGGTAGGTACATACATGCAGGACGAATTGAGAGGGAGGAGTGAGAGAGTGAGTGAGAGTTGAAGGGCCGTACGAGCCGGGTGGCATAGTTTATTAGGTACTAATTTGTTGTTACTTTTTCCTTGAGAGGGTATATATAAAACCTACCCGGGGGGGGACACACACATGAATCGATCTGTTACCCACCTTATTTTATTCCTTTCTCGAGTGGTTGATTGACCTGGTCTCCCATAAAACTGCACTACCAGTACCACTACTACCACATCCGGGCCGTACTATCAACCTGACCACCTACATCCATCCATACCCGCCAGGCACTTACACCTGACTTCATACACACCTATCTACAAAGCCTGCTTATCCCCAGTTAGAGTACTTCAACTACTTACACACCTTACTCCCAGCTGAGCCTACTACTTCTCAACTCCAGCAAGAAACCTCACGCAAGGATCCAATTCAGACAAGCTTTTCCCCGCGCAGACTAGGCAGACCCTTGATCTACCTGATCTGAACCTGCAAGTGTGCTTGCTGTCCCCCGGCTAGACTAGCCAGATTAATTCTACCGAGCAAAGGGTCCGATAACCTTACATATACCCACTCACTCCTCACGAAGGCGTTTGTCCTTTATCCTGAGACTCTCTCTCCACCAACGCCTCCTCGCCTCCCCTCCCTACCTCCCCACAGTACAAAACCACGAGCTCTCCCACCCATTTGCACCCACTACTCATACCACATCACACAACCATAATCAGTGCACTACCACTCTCACCACTACAATCCACTCCATCCACATAATAATACTCAATCAAAGAACGGATAATATAACCAAAACCACCACAGCAATGGCTACTACAACAACAATATTCCTCATGAGCGATGCCACCCTCCCCCTCTCACCCATAATCTCGCACACGCCTCCCCAGTCCGTGGCCGAAGCAGAGGCAGAGGCAGAGGCCGAGACCGAAGTCTACAGAAGACAGGCCTACGCAATCCGGGGTCTCGTGTACCCTGGCCCCCGCCGTATCCTCCACAGCAAGCGACCATCGCTGGCCAAGTCCTCGTCAACGCCCAATGCAAAGAGGCCCAAGAGTCTGGGTGGTTGTGGTGGAAGCAATGGCGGTGGTGCGGGGCAGACAGTTTCAGCCGGTAAGTACTTTTTTTTCCCTTTTATATTAATGGTTGCCATAACGCCTCCACCACGCTATCTTTTTGTATCACGATGATAAATACTAACGCCTCATTTTTTTACCAGCCCCCAAGCCTTCGCCTGCACCTGCAGAAGAGAGTTTTGCCACAAAGGAGCCCTCGTTTGCGCGCCTGATTGAAGACCTCCTGAGAACACATTCGTCCACGGCCTCGCCGTACGGTCAGCACTTGTCACACTCAATCCTAAACGACAGCAATAAAGTCTACCTCGGTAATTTCTATGGCGGCCTCGGACCCGGATATTAATTTCGCTACCCTTACCTTACCTATCTCTCTCAACAAATATGTGAATACTATATTTACTAGCTCGGCTTTTTGTGCGGCTTTTTAAAGCGTTGCTGTTTTTATATGTCATGATTAGATTTCCTTTGTCACTCTTCTCGCTCGGCCGGGGGGGCTTTTGTTTTGTTGGGTTTTTCGGCATTTTCGGGTTCTTTTTTTTTTTTGTTGTGTGTATAACTTTTTTACCCTTCTTCTTCTATCTCCCCGAGTCTCTTATCTTGCATGCATGCATGCATGCCATCAACGCATGGTACGTATGCAGGGCAGGTAGGACAAGAGGCAGGGCAGCAGGCGAAAAAACGGCGTCGTCAAAAAAAGCTATTTTTTGGGATCCTGGGTGTTTTCTCTTTTTTTATTATTATTCCCCTTTTTATTATTCCTTTTTTTATTCATTATTCATTTTCATCGATGATAAACGGGAAAAAAGAGGCATAGCTGCATGGATGGATTGTCGGGTAGGGTAGGGTAGGGTAGGGTAGGGTAGGGTAGGCTAGAGGGGAAGGGGAAGGGAAAGGGAAAGGGAGTCTGTCGTTTCTTGGTTTGTGCGTTTTTTTTTGTCTTTTTGGGAAACTGTTTTTTCAAACGGTGTTTTTTTTTCTTTCGTTCTTGGGATGTCATTATGGTTCGGATTGGGTTTTTTTTTTGGGTTTGTTGTTATAAACTGTCGTTTTCTTTCTTTTCTTTCCTTCTTTACGAGGTTATGACGCTTAACGATCAATTTATCATTCTTATCTGCTGCCACATAATATTATATTGAACGGACTGAATCGAACGAGTTACTTTACTGTGTTGTGGTGTTAAGTGTTGGTGTTGGTCTTGGCGGGTAATAATTGTGAAAGTAGCTGTGAAAGTAGCTGTGAAAGTAGCTGTGAAAGTAGCTGTGAAAGTAGCTGTGAAAGTAGCTGTGAAAGTAGCTGTGAAAGTAGTTGTGAAAGTGGCATTGATATCATTAGCCCCCCCAACTACCTGCTAGCTATCCGTCCCCAATTGCTATGCTATCCCAAATGCTCCAAACTCCAATATCTAAAACCAAGAACCAAGAAATCAAAGAAACTAAAGCCAAAGCTCAACAAGAACGACAAACCCCCCAACCTCATTAAAACAATCTACACACAATAACTAACCATCCATCCATCCGCCCAGTCCCTTCCCCAACTAATACCCCACCGGCAACCCCGTCCCTCCACCCGCAACAGCCTGCAAAAACTTCTCCCTCTCCAACTCCACCGTCCCCCTCCCCTTCATCCCCGCCACCAAACTAGCCCCCACCCACGCCCCCATACTCTCCAACCCGCGCACCCTCGGCGTCCCCGCCGGCTGCTGCTGCAGCCCCTTCTCCAAGCCTCCCCTCGGACTCCCAGGCGAGAGCGCGCCCCCGCGGTCCTCAACCCGCCACTCATAACTCACCTCCTTCTCCCTCTCCTGCACCTGCTCCTCCTCCTCCGCCTTCGGCGGCACTGGCGGCGGCACCCCGGACTGGCGACCGCCGACGCGGCACCACCCCTCGCGCTCGACGAGCAGCCGCACTTCGTCGACCACGCGCCGCTTTAGGCCGAGGACCTGGCTGGCGCCGCCGACGATCACGATGCGCTGCATGCATGCTGCGCGCACGTCGACGGGGGCGGCGCGCAGCGCTTCGTAGACGAGGCGGGGCAGCGGGAGGTCGTCGTCGTCGGGGTGGTCGGGGCTGCTGCTGGGGACGGTGGTGGGTGCGAAGAAGCATTTCTCGGTCGGGTCTGCGAGGGCGCTGAAGGGGAGGTGTGTGGTGCCGGTGGGGAGGGGGAGGGGGAGGGGGAGGGGGAGGGCGATGGGGGTGGTGTCGTCGGCGGTGGGGATGGGGGGGTGGTTGTGTTTGCGGCACCAGGCGAGGCGGGAGATGATGTCGTCGATCGTGGTGTTTGGGAGTTTTGGCGTTTTGGGGGTGGAGGTGGTGGAGGTGGTGAGGAGGTCGCGCCAGAAGTCACGGAGGAGGCGGCCGGCGCGGCGGGTACGGCGGGGCTGGCCGACGGGGCGGAGCTCGTAGATGGCGGTTGCCGTGGACTCTTCCCAGCCGAGGTCGAGGACGAGGGCGCTGCGGGTGCCGGCGGAGAGGGTGGCCATGGTGGGCGCCGAGAGGAGCATGATGCCCGGCATCTGGAAGTGCACGAAGAGGGACTTGAGGAGGGCGGTGAGCACCGGCGTGGAGAGGAGCGGGGGCGTCACGATCATGACGCGTTTGAGCTTGGAGTCGAGGAGGAGGTATCTGGTGGGCGGCGGTCAGTGTCAGTATCGGTTTTCAATTCCTCTTCTCATTCGTGTGATGCCGATGTGGATGTGTCTAGAGATGTGGAGATATCTCGATATGTGGAGATATCTCGATATGTGGAGATATCTAGATATATGGGTGGGAGCGTTATACGCACTTGTTATACGCCATCCTCACCCCCCTCTCCACCACATCCTCCACAACGCCCAGCTCCACACTCCTCAGATCCCCTCTCCACAGCTCCCCACGCCCGTCCTCGTCCCTGTTGCTCGCGCCGCCCGTCCACACGATGCCCTCGCGGCACCAAAACACCTCGTTGCTCCACTCGAGCACGCACCGGGGCGCGCTCTCGCCCGCAAAGCCCGCGCGCAGCAGACGGCTGCCAATCTCAAAGATCAAGGGGTCCTCGGTGTGGTGCGAGTAGGACGAGCTGCTGAGCTGGGCTTGGCGCGCGGGGGTGATGCCCGGCGAGAGGGGGGGGTTGAGGGAGGAGGTGCGCGGCGGGACGCGGTAGGTGTTGCTCGAGGCGGTGGCCATGGCCGGCGGTGTGCGGTGTGCGGGGCAATTGCAATTGCAACTGGGGGTGTGCGGTGTGCGGTGTGCGGTGTGCGGTGTGGAGAGAGGGCGTTGGGCGATTGAGGGTGCAGTGGTGGTGGTGGTCTGTGCGCGTATCCCTGCTGGCTGGTGATGCCCGCCGACACGGATTATCACTCGGGGTGTTTCTGCGTCAATGGGCCTAGAACTTGCAGAGACACACTGCGGGCATGGGGAGTTATACCGACCCCCTCTATGCACCGAAACAACAGTAGATAACCATCTCCATAGGCACGTGAGCCTCCGAAATACCCGTGTCTGGAATCATTGATGATGCCGCGGCCACCCACACCAATAGAACCCCCAGCTATACATACATACATACATACATACATACATACACACATACACCCGAAAGCTACGCAGCCCTAATAGTGCAACGTCGAGTATTATAACTCGCCTCTCTCCGGACCCAACCGACCCTTGGACTCCACAAATAGCCCCTCCCCTACAACCACAGTGCACACACGTGTATCCTCGTGATGATCCTCCCGAGGGCCCAACAGCACGTTGCCTCCGGAGGGAGCAACGCAAAGTGCAGATCAGACCCGTGAGGACGCATTTGGCTCAAAGTGCATGAGTGAGTGATGCTGCTGTTGTATTTACAATACTCTAAGTGCACCACATACCCCGGGTTTCCGGATGCAGTGGATGGCGCGTATCGGGCCGCGGATTGGATTTTCCTGGGCATGGGGTGGCTCGAATGAGGGAATCCGGGGTTTTTTGGCGTTTGCTTTCTTTCTTTCTTTTCGATCTGAAGCTTATTTGGTTGGAAAACCTGCAGAAAGGAAAAAAGAAAAAAGAGTCCCGCGGGGCGTAAAACAATTCTCCGGATGTTGGTACCGGTGTACATATGTTATGTACATAGAGTAGATTGTCGATAGATTGTCGATAGATTGTCGATGTATATTAATATAATATAGAGCTCCAATATAATTAATATGGTGGCCTAGATCATGTAAAACACGTTATATCGGGCATGAGCTGTGGATGTACATACTCATAACTTCATCTATAGCGTTTTTAGACACAGCTGGGTCTGCATACCACCAAAGTTTGGGGCCTCAACATGCAGGATTTGGCGGGTATGCACACCCCGCTGTGTTTAAAAACGCTATGAAATACGAGTATGTAGAGTACACGTTGAGTGATCTACATACCTGTCCGCCTTGATTGCACCACGGGAAGAATTCTCCGGCCGTCGCCCCGCCGTGAAGCTGCAATCAACGGTCTTTCCAAGTCTCGGGCTGTTGGTATCGGCAATGGGTGATATGGTGTTATATATTACTTATTGCATGCATGTATACCTTATCTTATGTGTATGGCTTGGCGCACAGGCCATCACTCGATCGGGTCGACGTGCTCTAGCTCGGTCATATTCGATTGATTGATTGATTGATTGGTTGATTGATTACTTCATTGCTCGTATGCTTATGACGAGTCGAACCCGATCTAAGCTACTAGTTAATGTAGGGTCTCACCCCTCACGGATGTGGAATAATATACCCCAACCGACAATCTAAGGCCAGCATGCTCCACTGCATTTTTCCCTCCATGTCCCATATTTCTCGGTCATATTTCGGATTCACCCCACTTTTGGTAGGCGGGGCCGAGGGCTGGAGCCATGCAGTCTCATATCACAACTTGCTCACTCGAATGGCTATTGTGGTTGGATCCTTGCTGACTGTGAGAGGGTTGTTGGAAAGTTAGCTGACTGACTCGATAGTGGAGTCGAAGGATGGTGGGGATAGAAGGCCTAGGGCGGTATAACTGGTGAATGTATGCCATTCGTCAGGCGGGGTGTTGAACTTGGCGTTCTTTAGACAATGTGCAAGGGCTATGGCGCCATACGTGCTTCCATAGATAGAAGTACATGTAGTACTATACCGCCATAACTCGACAAATTGGCTAGCCTCCAGAGATCAAAATTAATTATATGAGAAACTTCTGATGCAGATCGATGCCATTCAACCAAACACTCGACCAATAATCCCTGGCCGGAGATAGCCAATCTTTCGAGTTTTGGCGGTACATGTATGTAGGCTGATCTGGACGTTCTATTAAGAAGTTGAGATCAGGGAGCCTCGTGAAATACTCTATGAGAAATACCGGCCAGCTGGCACTTGGCGTCATGCCTTCGCCACGATACCCTTAACCTCTGTTGGACACATCGCTGTAACTGCTATATACTAACATGCAGATTTGACTGTCTAGAGCTTCATGGGCCGCCAAAAGTGTTTCGATAAAACCTGACACTACAGTACGCCCGGCCTGATCATTGATTGGACGGAGTTTAAAGATAAGCTCATTGGGGGTAAGGGTAAAACTGCCTAAATACGTATACAAGTAATAAGCAACTATCAAGCGAGAAGCTAATATAGTGCAAGCTACCATTATGGACCCAGAGAGATTGACATTACACCTAACCCACAAGGAGGGCTTAGCTATCCCTTGGACGCGTGAGACACTTGGAGAATCTCTCTCTCATGCATTAGTGTGGCCTATCTGAGAAACGATTTACTGTAATAAAGCAGCAACTTGCGAAGTTTTTGGCATCTCTGAGTATTCCAAAGACCGATAAATGCAGTAAACTGCTTACCCGGACGTTTTCTCAGCAAAATTCTAGGTCACATGACTGCCAACTCGCACTAATGCATGAGAGAGATTCTCCAAGTGTCTCATGCGTCCAAGGGATAGGAGAACAGATAAAGAATAAAAGTGCTTCTGGCCGAGGAATATATTTTTTTACGGGTAGCAGGTCCGATTTATGATTTACATATCCCCGCCGCTGAAAAAAAGAGCCCCGAGAGGATTCTAGCCCCATCTCCTTGGCAAACGTCCTACTGATACCCAGGCAGACGCATTATTTAACTACTATGCTACCGGAACTACTGTTGATAGGCTATGCGCTGGAGTGGGTCCTAAGATAAGTTGCCCACTAGATCACACTATCGATTAGATTAATAAGAAAGATCTTGAACGAGATTCGTGGGCAAAGGCGTGCACCAACTTCAGGGCCAGGGTGGGCAGCGTTTTCCGGCAAACGAAGGGATAATTTGCCTCCATTCTCGTGGCTACATGTTATTAATATATATGGCTTGTATTGACCACTTTCACTTGCAATTGCAGGGTTATTCAAGTCACGTGTGATAAGAAGAAGAACAGAGAAGATTTTTGTATTTTCCCATCTCGGGGTATATTTCTCCCTCTATCGCATAACCCTAACCCTCGGTATATGGACTGGCCCCCCGCAAAAATGATTTTGTAGGGGAAAATGGGGGGTGATTCAAACTAAGAACCATAAACGGTCAAGAGTAGAAGTACTTGACTGCGGGAAGCAGTAAAAAAATAATCATTAGGGTAGGCTCAAATAAGGCAAATATCACCGTTTTGGGTAGTATATTGCTTATTCTAATTTCAAGTCTCTAACGACGAACTCCAGCGATTAAGCATTAGTTCACAAAAGGCTTACGCGGTGTATGATCGCTTATTTCAATATAAGGTATCTTTGAAAATAATGACTATATAATCTTTAATCGTGAAGTATTCTTTACATTAATATACGTTATCTTAGCCTTACGGGTAAATAAGATTTTACAAAAATAAGCGTTATTTAAGATTTAATTTCATATATACCTCTCTATTAAATAACGATCAATACCTCGGCATGATTATTGGTGGATATGTATTATATTAGAGCACGTATTTATATTATTACTAAGCAATTACTAATCGTACAGTACAGTGCTTTTTTTAGTGCACCCCAACCCCCTATTGATTGCGCACCACACCCCTCCTTAGTGCACCCCTATTGCGCACCACACCCCTCCTTAGTGCACCCCTATTGCGCACCACACCCTCCTTAGTGCACCCCTTTTAGCATAAATCAGCAGAACCTAACGTCCCAATTGCACCACCAAAAGCGCCTATCTAAAGACGATTCTGACGGGTCAAAAGGCAGAATATAGAGGCGTTTTGACGATACAGCGGGTAGCCCGTATACTGCTCTCCGATTGGTTGATTTGAGCACCGGAATCGATGATATTGGGTCTAATTTTCCGGTGTCGTCATATATCTGCACGTGTACGAATAGGCGCTCGATTTGGTGCAATTTGTGGGTGAAGATATACTCGATTTGGCCTACCAGTGGAGGTGTATCGCCCTGATTTGGTGCTCTTAGGGTAATATATGTGCCTTTGGTAAACCCTATACGTTTCTGCTCTGTAGGATCGACAAAGGTGAATCGCTGGTAGTAAGCATACGGTTTAGCACCCAAATCGACGATATTTGGGCGCAAATAGTCCCTTTTGTACGCTAATCGGAGAATATCGTCAAAGACGCCAGAAGCACGTGATTTGGTAGGTAAAAGGGCGGTGTTTCTGACGTAATTGGCGGGAACTCGACCCAAAACCCTGGGATTGACGTGATTTGGTGCTGATTCTACCCCTGTTTCTGCTTTCTCTAGATATTGGTGTGAAGACGCTGGTAGCAGATATTCGATTAGGGTAGGGCACACCTTCTTGAGATCAGCAAAGGCACGTGATATCTCCGGATTTGACTCCTCGAAAGCGCCTTCTAGGACAAATCTAACGGTCTTTTTCCTACCGTCGTGGCGGAGAAGATGCAATTCAACGTCTTTGTGGTTGGTGTGTGTCACCTGACGTTTGAAAAGACGGTGATATTGCTCTCCGATTAGGACGTTGGTATTCCAGATAGTGGCGTATTGCCTGCAGTAATCGTGATAATGCACTGCAACGTGGATATTTGGTCGATTCAGCCACCCCCCGAGCACGTTAGCTGACGCCTTTGGTGGCTGAGCACCCCCTAATTGGCTCCCAGGCTCAGAGATATCGTCGTCTTCGTTGATGGGTGCTGGAGAGGCACCTGAGGAGGAGGCACGTGATGCCACACCACCTCTGCCCCGCGTACCTGCGCTAATCGCGCAATTGATCAGCCTAAGAGACAGAGATCGGCAAATTAGCGTTGAAGAGCTCATATTCTGCACGTTATCAGCGCTCAAGCAGTGCTTGGTAATCAGGGTGTAGCTCGATGCTAACTGGCTATAGACCCTAGTCACGATATCGCACTCTTTTAGGCGCAAATCAGGACTCAATTCTGCATCATACTCTGCTCTGATAGCACGTAATAGGGCAGGTTGGAGGCGTTGATTTGTCAGCCAGGTACGCAAAACCATCGCCGTTATGACACAAGCCCTGCTTTGCTCGCTCAAATCCCAGGAATTGCGATGACGTAGGGGGTTTTGCACCCTGCACCAGCCTGGTGGTAGGGCTTGCTTCCGGAAGACGGAGGCGTATGCCTCACGTTGATTGGGCAACAGGAGATTGTCGATCAAAAGATCCTGAAGTAAACGCCCTATTCCGGACATCTCGGCATGGGGGGGGTCAGGCGGAAAGCTCCTACACACGTCAATTGCGGGAGCTAATGACGTCAAAACAGGGGAGGGCAGCTCGTTGATACCCAGCGCTCGGAGATGCGCTTTGCGCCTAGTAGGCGGCATATCTGACGCTTTAGTCCTAATATCTAGCGTCACGTGGTGATATCTGCCTCTTTTGGTGATATCGTAGTCCAAATTGCCGTATTCTTTTGATGGTATTAGGCAGCTTCTGCACCCGAAAGCAGAGTTTTGGCGCAGGAAGCCAGCGCATTCGTTTTGCTGAGGCATATCACCTAGATACCCTAGCGCAAATGACGACACAAACGCCTCCACTAGCGCCTCCGATTCGCCATACGGAATCTGCATTATTACCCCGGATTCGAGCTTTTTGGAGGGCGTTTCCAGGCACCCTAAAACGTCGCGCAAATCGCTACCGTGTGGTCCAAGCGTCAGGGGAAAGACATTAACGAGCCTGGTACGCTCTCTGATTGGTAGGTTAGACGGTATCATATATACCCCTGATGCGCATCAGTCAGTACGGTAAATCACAAAGGGGGGGGTATACGCCATACACCCACCTGTCAGCGATCTGTACATATTGCGATATAAGCCAAAACCGTCGATAAACGTCATCTGGGGCATGCATCTGATTGGCCGTTGCCCTGCACGTGATACAAAATCACGTTCAAGCACCTGCCTACCGTACGCCTTGATTTCGAGCTCTGCCCTGACTGGGTGGGTAAGACGTACTGCCCTAATCGAGCGTTTTGATAGGTTGATTACCCTGCGTATATTGATTAATGCGGTAGGGTTGAAGGCTTGGTTTGGAGGCGGAGGTGGGGGCATACCGTGATTTGGTGCCTGGCGTTGATTTTGTAACGGGGGTCCTTTCTAAGAGAAATAGATTTGTATAGAATAGAGACGGCCGTGCAAGATAGACAATCAGGTTGCAGATTATTCAAAGATACTATCGCTAGAACTCAATAATCTTTGAGGGCTCTGCTACCGATAAGAACTTGGTTTTTTCCTTTTTTAATTAAGACTGGAGAGAACAGGACTGAAGGGCGAGAATGAGCCTGAGTACTTATACTTCAAAGGCCTCTGTCCTCTGCTCCTAACTCCTTTACTAAGTTCCGGTGGGCCTTCCCTCAGTACCGGAAAACAATACCACCGCTACCCCGCTTTTCTCTAAGCGTCAGCAGGTGTTTCCGATACCCAAGGCAACCACCCTTAGTCAAAGCCTTTATGACACCTGCAGCCTTGGTTGCCACACAACCGAGGACCTGCATGGATGAGCTGCCGCTCAGGTGTAAGCTTAATCATTGCTGTAGAGTTTCCGCTTATTGTAGACTTCCCTAGCATAGTCCCTGCCCTTCGGCGGACTTACAATGCTCCGAGGATACAGTGGATCACCGGACAATCAGAGCTTCACTCTGGCCGATCTTCTAGACACTGGCGAGGCATAGACTCGTCAGTCATTGCTCCCATGAATAGATCCCCTTCCTAGCGCCCGGAATGTAGTTACTCTAACAGCTGGTAGCTAACCACACTGCCGGTACTTGCATATCACCGTGCAACTGGCTTCTAACAATAACTCTCAGCATGTAACCGGGCCCTGTGTGCACTCATACACCAGACAGTTGAAATGGCTCCGTTACACCACTCCCCTCTTCCAGGATCTTGGTCTCCGAGATCTATAACCATTCTATTACCATTCATTCTATATGACAAGAAACTCCATGATATGCAAGGAAATGAAAACCCAAGAGGGAATAATCTACACCCCAACAATCCGCTTGTCCTTGGGTTTCTTAGGATACCTCATATGGAAATCCCGAAGGGCTTCTTCAGCACTCTTCTTGAGATGCTCCCAAGGTTCCCATGTAGCATCCTCGTTTTCATAACCTTCCCACAGCACTAGGTATTCCACTCGTCTCCTTTTCTTATTGACCCGGCTATCAGCTACCTCTCGGACAACCCAGTTCTGTTCTCCTTCAATCTCCTCGGGTTCCGGTGGTGGAACTCTTCTCTCAGGATCTACCGGTGCTCGGTAAGGTTCCAGAAGAGAGACATGAAAGACCGGGTGGATTCCCATTTGAGGGGGAAGAGAGAGCTTGTAGGCACGGGTACCAATAGCTTCTAAGACCTTAAAAGGTCCCATCTTCTTCTGATCCAATTTTCCCAAAGGCCGCTTTGTTTGCACATTGCGCCGGTCCAACATTACTTCATCTCCGGGCTTGATTTCAGGCGGTGCCAGGGCATGAGCATCATACCACCGGGCCATCCTTAATCTAGCTTTACCCAAGCTGGCGTTCATAGCCTGCCAGATAGATTCCCATTGAGATATCATGACCTCGCTCGCTGGATTATTCCATTCTACTCCTTCCTTTGGGGCCGGCCAGTTGGTCCTGGGTTCATATCCATAGTTGGCATAAAAAGCCGATACTTTGGTAGACTCAGAGACCGCCGAGTTATATGCATACTCTGCCAAAGGCAAGAGTTCTGCCCAGTCATCCTGTTGATATGAACAATAACTCCGCAAGTAATGTTCCAGGGTCTGGTTAACTCTTTCTGTTTGACCGTCCGTTTGGGGGTGGAAAGATGTGGACATCTTCAGCTTCACATTGAGGAGACTCATGAGAGATTGCCAAAAGTGAGAGATGAACCTGCTATCTCTGTCCGAGACTATGTCATCAGGTAAACCATGGAGTCTCCAAACTTCCTTCAAGAACAACTTAGCCAAATCTTCCGTCTTATTGAGGGTAGGAAGAGGGATGTAGTGTGCCATCTTTGAAAAACGGTCCACTATTACCCAGATCTTTGTAAACCCACTAGATTCCGGTAGTCCCACAATGAAGTCCATAGAGATGGAAGTCCATGGCCGATAGGGTATCTCCAACGGTTGGAGCATACCAAACTTCTTATGTCTTGAGGTCTTATTCCTCTGGCAGCTATCACAGCTCCGGACATATTCCTCAACATCCTTATCCATGTTGGGCCAAAAGAAGTTGTTTTTCACCCTCTCTAGTGTCTTAAATTGACCAAAATGACCAGCCACCTTAGAGTCATGGGTATCGGACAGTATTTCCATCTGAAGATTCTTGTCTTTGGGTATATACCATCTATTTTTGTAGAAGATGAGACCGTTCTTGACCGACAAGTTCTGGTCCAAATTTGGTTTCCTTTCAACCAGGGAGCGGTGCAATTCCTGCCAGAAACTATCCTTCTTAGCAGCCGTGTATAGGCGCTCTAAGAATGTATTCTGCAACTGATTCACCCTGACAGCCGCTAGCTTTGCAGGATCCAAAACCAATTGACCTGGCCTAAAAAAGGTCTGTGGCTCTGGCTGCAGAGTTTCACCTCCCTCTCCAAGGCGGTGATCCCAGCGCCTAGATAGCACATCAGTCTTGCCATTCTTTTCTCCCGGTCTGTAGACAACTTTAAAATTGTAGCCTGCGAGGTCTTCAGACCATCTAGCTTGCCGCCTAGTGAGAACCTTGGTAGAATTAAAGTACTCCAAGTTCTTGTGGTCTGTAAAAACCGTGATCTCTTGCTCACAAGATTTGAGCATGTGTTCCCATTCCCGGAAAGAGGCTACAATAGCACCCATTTCCTTATCATGAATGTCATAGTTGATCTCAGCAGGGGAGAACTTCTTAGAATAGAATGCCACCGGATGTAGCTTCCCATCATCCCCATACTGAGAGAGCACCGCCCCCTTGGCAAAATCACTGGCATCTGTCTCGACCACCGTTCTCCTACTAGGGTCAAAATGAAGAAGGATTGGAGCGCTTGTGAACAGCCTCTTGAGTTCTTCAAAGGCCTGCTCATGTGCTGCCGTCCAATACCATTTCTTGTCTTTTTGCAGGAGGTCAGTTAATGGTTTGCAAACTTTACTGAAGCCTTCAATAAAGCGGCGATAGAAGTTTGCAAATCCGAGGAATGCCTGTACTGCCTTGATATTTTCAGGGACCGGCCATTCCTTAACTGCCTCTACCTTGTCTTCTGACATTGATACTCCTTCTTCCGAGATGTGATAGCCTAGATATTCTACTTCTCGGACATGGAAGGAGGTCTTACTGATCGAGGCACAGAGCTTAGCCTTCCTAAGCTTCTGTAGTACCTTCTTGACCAATAGTTCATGCTCTTTCTCAGTCTCCGAGTAGATGAGGATGTCATCAATGTAGACAACTACTCCTTCATCCAGTAGTTCCTTTAGCACATCATTGATCATTGCCTGGAAAGCGGAGGGAGCATTGCATAGACCAAATGGCATCACATTATACTGATACAGTCCATAGCGGGTTCTGAAAGCGGTTTTCCACTCATCACCTTCTGCTATCCTGATCAAATTGAAGCCGTTCTTCAGGTCTATCTTTGTGAAGATCTTGGCCTTGAACAACCTGTCTCTGAGCTCACTCATGATAGGCAGTGGGTACTTGTCCTTGACAGTGACCTTGTTCAATCCTCTATAGTCCACACAAATCCGCAATGTCCCATCCTTCTTAGGAATGAACAGTATGGGCGCCGCAGCAGGGCTGTTAGATCTAGAGATCTTTCCTGAAAACAATTCTTTGTCCAGGTACTCTCGGAGGGCCTTCAACTCTGGAGCGGAACATGGGTACAGCGGGCCAAATGGGGGAGCGGTACCAGGCAAGAGTTTGATCTTCAAATCATTATGGGAATGCGACGGCATTTCCTCAATCTTCTCTTGACTGAACACATCAGCCCAATCCCGGTATAGATGGTGTATTTTCTCAGCAATATCACCTCCGTCCTCGTCATGCCATACTGAACCAACCAATTGATAGACCGTCTCTTCTTCTTCCATCATTTGGTATGGAGAGATTAGTTCAATCTTGGTGGCCGCTGGGAGACAATTCTGCTTGCAGTAGTCACTCCTCCAGCTCATGGTATTGAGTTCCCAGTTAATGTCCGGGTTATGCTTCCTAGCCCAACTAATTGGCAGGTAACCGGTCATTCCTTCCTCCAAAGTAGCCACTTCCCATCGGAGTGTCTCCCTATGATCTCCCATAGTCATGCGGACCGGGTGAGTGTAATACTCGCCTCCTCCCATCATGACATCTCCTTGAGCATCAAACATCGTCAGAGGTTGATCCCGCCGCACTAAGGGAATTCCATGTTTCCTGACAAAACTCTGATTGAGGATAGCTCCTGTACAACCGGTGTCAAACAGGAAAGACCCTTGGGCGCCTTCATCCTTTCCTTTGACCGTCCATGACAGTCTTGCCTTCAGTATAGGTCTTTTTCCATGTACTGGTAAGGAGGGAAGCCTCTGTTCCAACCTTCTTTGCTTAACAGCGGGTTCTGAACTTGTTTCTCTTTGTCTTTTCAACATAGCTAATAACTTCGGGCACTACTAAGATCAGAGATCCTTTGGTTCTCGAGCCCTGGTGGAAGTAGAAGGGTGGGAGGTGGTCGGAGGTTGATACTGCTGGGACATCATTGCCAACAGATTCCTCTGTTGCTTCTCCAACTTCTTCTTAAGGTATCTCCGCCAATTTCTTCTGTTACCACCTTCTGGTTCCGAGTCTGAGCTGTCAGAGTTATCCGAATCTCCTGGAGCGGGAGCGCGGGCTGCTGGAGGTGGAGGGTTCTGATTTCCGCCACTTCCTCCCTGTGCCTGAGCTGGAGGATTCTGATCTCCGCCACTTCCTCCCTGTGCCTGAGCTGGAGGGGGAGCGGTGGCCGCAGCAGAAGGGGCCACAGGTGCTACTGGTGCCGGGTTGCTGGCCAGTGGTGAGGTTGCTGCTGGTTGAGCAGCCCCAGACATGGTAAACCTTCCTGGGTTCCTGGCTAGCGGACTAGGAGGTCCTCGGCCTGCACCTGAGAAGAACTCTCCTTCATAGTCAAAGGATCGGTCGGCTCCTCCAAGGAGTGGATGTGTTCCACCGAAGCGGCTAGGTGGTAAGGGTGAAGCCCCCACCGCTGGCTGCACAATAGGGATAACTCTCCTAGTGGATCGGACCGGAAATGCTGCAAAGGGGCTGGTCTTCCGCTGCATTGTCCTGGTAGCTGCTCTGGAAGAGGACCTGGAGACTGAAAGTGGTGCCGGAGTTGCTGGTCTACCCACCACCAACCTTCCCTCATCAAGAGCTTTCTGTATCTCGGCAACAAAGTCTGGTGGAGTGGCCGGATTGGTCCACTCAATCTCCATAGCATCAACATCGGCATTCAGTTCATCTCTTTCTGCATACCTCCGAAGCTCTTCCTGAACAGAGTTGACTTCCGACCTCATGTACTCTAGAGCTTCTGCCATCAGAGCATTCTGTGCTGCCTGGCGCTCTTGTACAATGAGCAGTGCCTGACTGCCTCGGTTCAACTGACTCTGCAGGCTGTGCTGGAGGTAGGTCTGAAGCTCTGTGAAGAACTGTTGTAAGGAAACCTCATCGGTATCCTGCCAGACAGGCTCACAGCCGGGAATGTAGGTCTGTAGAGCGGTCCTGGGCTTCTTGACAAGCTGTGTCTGCCCGGTGGCATCAAGCTGGAGGGGCACCGGCTGCCATTCAATCTGAAGGGGTGCATCTGGAGCCGAGAGGGCGGACATTTGGTATAGAGGAAGAATAATCTGAAGGTGACTTGAGCCTCAAAGATTATCTGTAACGGGGGTCCTTTCTAAGAGAAATAGATTTGTATAGAATAGAGACGGCCGTGCAAGATAGACAATCAGGTTGCAGATTATTCAAAGATACTATCGCTAGAACTCAATAATCTTTGAGGGCTCTGCTACCGATAAGAACTTGGTTTTTTCCTTTTTTAATTAAGACTGGAGAGAACAGGACTGAAGGGCGAGAATGAGCCTGAGTACTTATACTTCAAAGGCCTCTGTCCTCTGCTCCTAACTCCTTTACTAAGTTCCGGTGGGCCTTCCCTCAGTACCGGAAAACAATACCACCGCTACCCCGCTTTTCTCTAAGCGTCAGCAGGTGTTTCCGATACCCAAGGCAACCACCCTTAGTCAAAGCCTTTATGACACCTGCAGCCTTGGTTGCCACACAACCGAGGACCTGCATGGATGAGCTGCCGCTCAGGTGTAAGCTTAATCATTGCTGTAGAGTTTCCGCTTATTGTAGACTTCCCTAGCATAGTCCCTGCCCTTCGGCGGACTTACAATGCTCCGAGGATACAGTGGATCACCGGACAATCAGAGCTTCACTCTGGCCGATCTTCTAGACACTGGCGAGGCATAGACTCGTCAGTCATTGCTCCCATGAATAGATCCCCTTCCTAGCGCCCGGAATGTAGTTACTCTAACAGCTGGTAGCTAACCACACTGCCGGTACTTGCATATCACCGTGCAACTGGCTTCTAACAATAACTCTCAGCATGTAACCGGGCCCTGTGTGCACTCATACACCAGACAGTTGAAATGGCTCCGTTACAGATTTGGTGCCTGGGCTTGATTCACCCGCATACCAGCGTTTTGACGTGCTGCCTGACGTGCTAACCTAGCACCCTCTCTAGCAGCCTCTTGACTGCCGAGCAATTCAGCCTCTTCAGCGAGGTCTCTGTCGTCACGGAAATCGCGATCAAATGTGACGTTTTCACCTAATCTAGCGAATATCTGATTGGCTGATATCAACCTGATGTCCTCGATTAGGAAGCACTCTCCAGGGTGGGGTGGTGGGTGCGTCACCAAAGGCTTGATATCGTCAGCCAAATCGACGTATCCCATGACGGGCTCTAAATATACGACGATATTGGGTGTGGTAGGCGCACCGGTGGTAGGTGCACCGGCGGTAGGTGCACCGGCGGTAGGTGCGGTACGCATGTCTTGGTAAATGCATCGTACACGCCCAGCATGCAGCATATTGGACTCTCGATACGTGACAAAATCAGAAGGAAATATGGGAGAGCCTGTTGATTAGTCAGTCTTGATTTGCTTAGAATTGGGTGCAATTTAGGAGGGTGTAAGACCGTCAGGATATCGAGCAAATACACCACTGCACGTGCGAATAGACTCCGCCCAAGCCTCTCCGTGCCACAATTCTGACGCCTCCTCCACCAATTGCGCCATACCAAAATGCATGTGCTGCCTCATCTTAGAGCGTAATATCGTCTGTGTCAGCTCGATTGGGTCAAAAAAATAGGCTTTACCAGCCCCTGATTGACCCGTTGGCATCTTATCTAATCTGAGATCGATCTTGCACTCGTAGATTGGCGGTGCGGGTATCTGTGCCTGGTAATGGTTTTGGAGGGTGTCGAGCGTATTTGGGAGGTGTTTCCAAACATCCGGGTTGTCACGTGCTAGGTGTATTACCTCGAGCAAAGCAGCGTAATCTGGGCGACTAATATTAACCCTATCACACCAAACAGCAAAAGCAAAAAGAAACGGGCTCATTGGGTGCTTTGAAGTAGGAGGTTTCCAAGCAATCGTCGGTTCAGGCACCGTTTCTGCATCTCCGGGTGCCTCCGCCTCCTCCGCCTCCTGCAAAACGGGTGCTTCTGCCTCCTCTATATCGGCGTTTTGCTCTGCCAATTGCTCGGTCCAAACGGTGTTTCCTTCCAAGATATCAGGGCGTCCTTCGTCATCAGATACCACCGGATATTCGTCATTATCAGGCTCAGAATCGGGCTCTAAATCTGCCTTAGATTGATGCTCAGATTGATGCTCGTGCTCAGCAGGAGGCTCGTCTTCGTCGTCCTTATCGGCATCTGGGGTGCAAAGGCGCTCCCCGTCACGTTTGCGCTTGCCTAACGCGTGTATAGCCCTACCAGGTAATGCTAGGAATCGATCGAGATCAAGGCCCCTATCTGGCATACTGACGAAGATTGGCGATGGTCTGGTAGGTTAGCGATGGTCTGGTAGAGTAGCGATGGTTTAGTAGACTGGCGAGGTGTGGTGTGATATCTTCGTGGAGGTTGACGATGGTTGAGGACTATCTTAAGACCGCGCTAGCCGTATTAGGCAGGTGCACGGGCCATATGAGGCTCAATGAGGCGGAAGTAGGGTGTGGTGACGTCAACATACCAGCATCAACCTCCACGAAGATATCACACCACACCTCGCCAGTCTACTAAACCATCGCTACTCTACCAGACCATCGCTAACCTACCAGACCATCGCCAATCTTCGTCAGTATGCCAGATATGGCAGATTCGGACGCCAGCGCTGAGAAGGAAGTGCGTATCTTCGAGATCAACGTGAGTACGGTGCAGGGGGTGGTAGGTGCGCTGATACTGACTGACTGACTGACGTGACGCCACCAGACATATAAAAATCGATGCCGTTGGGAGGTGGAGGATGTGCAGATGGCGTACTGCTTCTTCAGCGGCTTGCTGGCCGGTGAGCGCCCTAGCCAATGCACCGGGCTTCTGTCGGAGGTAAAGAAGGCCTTGTTGAGCTCTTCCAAATTCAAGCGAGGCGCCAATCAGGAAGAGCTCAGCCCTGCGAATGATTACCTCTTTGGGGTGCTGAAGAGCCTTGCAAGGCGTACGTATCTGAGGCAATTCGTGATCGATGACATCGATTCTCTAATCTCAACGGCTTTTGGTGCCGATTTCGTCAAGGACACCGCCATATTCAATCTAGTACGCAATCGTACCCAAAACGGTATCCACCAGATTAAGCATCAGACGATTGAACGTTTTTTTGAGCACGTGCAGCAGACTCTTACCCAGGAGGGTGTATTATTCCGATCTGCACGTAATCTCGACGCAATCAGAGACTACTACGCCAAAGCCTACAATATCGAGAATCTGATGTCGATATTCTACTGGGTGGAGCCCCTTGTCGATATCGCAAAGTCATCCAAAAGAGTGCAATTCATGATGAAGGGTAATACCCCCCCCTTTGGGCGATCAGTCAATCGCTAATCCGTGCAGTAATCTACGTCAACATGTGCACGTTTACCAAGATGCATATCCACAAACCCTATTCTGCAGATTACAATAGGACGGCGTTGAATCGATTCTGGGACCGATTGGGTGCATCGGCGGCGTGGGAGGGCATTGATTTGTCGCATTATCACGTCAAACCACCCAAAACCAAGCGCAAAAAGGTCAGGCACGGCAGGGACGAGGACTTTGACGATATTGATGACGACACGCGCTTCTTTATGCTTCCCGATGACGATTCCGGAGGTGCACCTCAACCCGAGGATACAGGCCAAGTTTTGGTAGATTTGGCGGGCAACGACGACGATTGGGGAGAGGAGGTGCGGTCAGAAGTGGCGCACGAAGAAACCCCTGCACGTGCGCAGGCTCCCCGTACTTCTAATATTGCGCCAACTCCCGGTATTGCGCAGACTCCTCGTGCGCCTACCCCTGCACAAGATGTGCCTGCTGCACCAGCTACGCCTGCTGCACCAATTCCGCCTGCTGTACCAATTACACCTCCTAGGGCGGTTGCGCCTAGTATTGCGCCTACCACGCCTACCACCACCACCACCACCACCACCACCACCACGACGATTTCGCCTGGTGTTGCTCAAGCCGCAACCCTTGCACCTGCCCCTGCGCCTGGAAGGAATACTAGAGCTCGAGGCAAAAAAGCCCCACGTGGTGCTGTTTGAGCTCGGAATCCACACCCTAATACCCACCAAGATGCACGATATAATTACCCCTGGTGCCCCTGATGCCCCTGATGTCTCAAAAGGCGTTGATTTTGTTACGATTCATGACGTTACGACCCTAGTCTAGGAAAAAGCAATAAAATGTGATTAAAAAGCAATATTCTGTCGTGATACCCCCTAATCTAGTGTACGGGCCCAATTATAAGCCGAAATGTCGTTTTTTCGATTTTTTGAGCCCTATCGCCAAGAAACGATATTTTTGAACCCTAACCCTACTACTAACGATATTTTTGAACCCTAACCCTACTACTAAAGTAGGGTTAGGGTTCAAAAATATCGTTTCTTGGCGATACGCGCGATACGATTTCACGTAATATCACCGTTTTGATGCGCAGTACAGCCAAAACACGACTTTTACCTGAGCGCTTGGGTATCTAGATACATATGCACCTCCTAATCGGTGCCTGGAGTCTAATTGTACGTAGATTACATGCCTAATTATCGCGCAATACAGCCCTATATCCCAAAAAGACGTACTACAGCTATGTGCGCGGATCCTAATCTAGATCGCGGAGCAGGCACCAAACTTCCACATGTTTGGCCTGAAAGCGATGCCCGCTCCATCCACAAATTTAATCTCTCGACGATGCCGCCACGTTCGTACGAAGCGTACGAAGGCAGGTCCGATGACTAGGCAACGATCTAAAAGGGGTGAAGCGGCACAGTATCGGGGGTTAGTAAACACCAAAATTGGGAGAATGATATACAGGAGGGATCCCCTAACGCCAGGAAAGCAGCCAGTACCCCGGTCCCCATGTAAGAGGCTCACGACGCTTATCTGTCGACTCGAAGCTGACACCACAAACCTGACGCGTCGGGAACGTTCAGGGCCCAAAGGACCGTGAACGACAGGAACCCATGAAGCGCCCCACGATGCCCGCCCCCATTGGTGGGGGGTAGGACCCCACCGCTGGCTAGTTGCACTGCTGAGTGCAAAGCGTCAAGCCCCGTGCGACGCGACAGGGTTAATTAAGGGTAAAAGTAAAACAAGGGTATCGTGGGCTAAAGGGCTAAAACGAAGATTAGTATCTACATGTATTACGTACTAGGTAGAAGGAAACGTACCAAAATCACGCGCGGAAGGTTGTACGAGGTTAGGAGGGAAAGATGAGTTATGATTCGGATGCCTCTACATAGATTAGGGAGTTACCCGGCTCAGCTACAGGCTTAGTCATCCACAGTTTCCCGGCTTAGATAAGCCCTATATCAGGATTACCTACCTATAATACTTCCTAGCCAATCAGCGTTGAGCTCAAATAAGCGCTGTTTAAGACATATCACGAAATAATGCCTATTTTGCCACTAATTATGATTACGTAACCTAAGATTTGCCTTAAAATCAGGCTTTTGGGCAGGTAAAGGCGTATATATGCCTTATGTGGGACAGAGCATTACCCGATTTGGAGGCTTACACCAAGGTAATGCTAAAGTGACCCTTTTTGGGTGCAAAACGCTTATATAAGCCTCCTCCGCCAGCAAATCGTAATTGGAGGCTTATTTTTTTACCCGTTGCCACAGTCAAGTACGAACAGGGGTGAGAAGGGTGCTTTCTTGGCGCTCGAGTGATATCCTATGATCGCACAAAGCGATGCTCAGCTTTCTGGTTGCGGGAACCCACCAAGGGCTGGGTAGCTGTTTTTATCTGGTTATATCTACGCAAGAGGGTTGCCAGCTGTGGATCATGCTGTACTTCGTCGTTCATGGCAGGGTTAGGTTTCCTTAGCTCCTCTTACCCTCGCCTTGTCCCGCCCCGTTAAGTGTTACTTCCGGGCCGCTGACAGTTGTGTGGGCGAGCGTGGTCTAGTGGTAGGCAGCTCGTCCTGCTACACCGAGTGTTTTGAGTCCACATGACCATCAGTGGGTCATGGGTTCAATTCCGGGGGTGGGAGTGATGCTGTGGGGTGTATATTATATACCGGGAAATGAGGAGCACAATAAACCGGACTGTTGATTCCAAAAGTCCAGTCCGCGAATTGAGCCCATAGCCCCGCGAAGGGTATATGGCCACAGCATCACTTTTTGTAAAATCTTATTTTTCAAAATTTATTGCCAGCTTGATGATCTTAGTTAGCTTCTCGCTCATAATTTGGTCTCCCTCTCAGGGTCGGATGTAGGATTGGGCCGGTTTAGCGAAACCTTTCTCAAACCATATTCTTTTATAGTATAGTAGATGTATCTTTCTTCCCTCTTTCCTCCTTCTCCCCTTCCCTTCACCACTGGCATCATCAACTTTACTCATATCACCCCTCCCCCGAGGGAGTAAGGGGAGAATGTTTCTTTCTACTCCCATTAGGCTCTGGGCAATTCAAAGGGTCAAAAAGAAGCGATGGGTTATATCTGACAGGTATGGGCTCAGATAAACCGCAAACATATAGCGAGGGATTTCCTCACAGAAAAGCACTAGAAGACTCCAAGCCTCACGCCTCTACCCTCTATTTCTGAACTTAAACGAGCGCGGAATGAATGCTTCACCAAAAACCTCATGGTGGCACGCATTACTCTATATTCATCTTCCGGTAACGCACCATGAGCTCAGCGGTACGCTTTCCAGCCAACCCCCCCGGGGCCAGCTCAATCAAAAGATACAGTCAAACGCACTTTATCATTGATACACAAAGCCCGAATTCTTTAACAAAATAGGATGAAACGGCAGTAAAAATAAACAATACACGATCTGATCCTCAATCAAAGAACTTGACCTCCAGCTCCAGACCGCGCAACATTAGCTCCCCAAAAGTCTCGATCACTCGTGATCACCTCGCCGTCTTTTCATTACTTGTTCCACGGCGCGGAAGGATCATCAAAGCTATCCTGGCTAGCCGTATCGCCCTGATCAGCGCTCACGTCGCCCTCACCGTTCGCGTCGCCCTTCCCGCTCTCGTAGCCCTCGTTTTCCTCGTCGCCGTCATACTCATCATCGTCCCACTCGTACTCATAATCCTCATCATCCTCATAATCCCCATACTCATCCGTACCATGGGCCATAGATTCCTCAACCTCAGCGTCCGTGATCTCTTGGTTCCATGGGGCATGAGGATGAAAATCGCTTTTTCTGATCGGTTCCTTATCTATCAAGATGCTAATCTCTTCTGGATCCATCCCGCCGTAGTCGTCATCGTCTGTTTCATCAGTCTCTTCCTCTTCTTCCTCTTCTTCCTCTTCTTCCTCCCCTTCCTGTTCCTGTTCCGTTGCACTCTCCGGATCCGAAAGAAAATCGTCATGCTCCCCCTCCGGATACCTTCCAAACCTTTTAAATATATCAAGTTTTTCCCGAAGTGTATCCAAGCAGAAACCGCAGCACCATTTCTTATAGCGCCTGACCAGAGGTAAGTGCTTAAGGGAAAACTTTCTGAAAAGTCTTTTAGCGTTTGGTTTGTCCCAATTTGTAGGCCCATAAGTATCCTTCCACTCGCGGCAGTTTTTGCATATGCCATGGATACATTTATCGCAGAATGGGGAGGTGGTAAAACAGCTCTGTAATATGTAGTTAATAAAAAGAATTTTATGCACCCCGATTATAAGTGTTGGCACGACTTACATCACAAACATCACGCCTACAGACGCAGCAAAATGACATCGCTGTATCTTTTGTATATTCGGTTCTACAATTGTCGCAAAAGCGACTGTAATTGCAACTTTCGCAAGCCTCCTGTAAACTATTGGAGGCATGGAGTCTGCACTTCCACTCTTTACACATCGTACAGGTATTATGTGGATGGACAGCCATACGACACCTAAGGAACGTTTAGTGTGTCTTGATCCAACGAGGGTTAACGTTATGAGCACGTACTTTAAGCAACTCTTACCACACTCCGTACACATATTCTGCACCCCTTCGCATTCCGACTTAGAACAGACATAACTGAACTGTTAGCAGAGAAACATGGCAGCACGAAGGACTGGAGAACATGCCGATCACATTGTCTACAGAATCCACGTTGGTACATCCTCTGGCGCAGAGAATCGCAATAGGCGCATTGCGCAATTTCCTCGACCTCCCCACAAACGTAACACCGTGCCTTCCACTTTTCACACATCCATATCGACGACTCGGAGAATGGCTGCTCACCAAAGAACTCATCCTCGGGATTCGATTTCCACAATCTCAGTCTCGTTTTTTTACCAAAGCATTTCGAGCGATGGTGGTTTAATTTTCCACAAGGGACTGAATCAAGGTTGATCCCTTTCTCTTCACAATATCTTACAATGAATCTGTAGGCTCTTGTGGCGCGAGCATCGATTCTGGTATCGAGAGTGAGATATTTTGAGTCAGGAATATATTGCCAACTTGTTTTTGGGAGGCCCCATATCTTGATGACGGAATCAAATTAGTAAATCATGAACTGTGGGTAGATAAACCGACAAGTACGTACGCATAAACGCTCCAGGTCAGGGAGAAGCCCTTTGCGTGGGCCCAGCTGCTGGGAAGATTGATTGTAATTTGGGAGGTGTGTATAGTAAAGCGCATCATAGCGACGAGAATTGTCTGGATCAAGAAGAACTTGGATATCGTCCAGAGTAAGATTCGTGCAATACTTTACACTAAGCGTTATCAAACTTGACCATTCGGCAATAGCTGCCAGTATCTCGAGATTGAGAGGTGTCATATCAAGGACCAAGTGTTTGATTGTTGACCATTCAACGACATCTGAAAAAAGGAAACGATCCAATTCGCCCTGTTGATAAAAGAAGTCGTACATTATGTTTTGATCGGTGAACTCTGTACCATTCAATATGATACCCGTGTAAGGGGTTTTATGGTTCGAGAAAGCATGGAAAGATCCTTTTATTATATGGAAGAGATGCACCGATGTGAGGCATAACTTCAAGACCTCGCGAGTCGAGAAGTTCTTGAAAATAGTCTGAAGAACAGGATAGACCATAAAAAGTTCTTCGAACTTCGTTGCTGGACGCGTGACAGTTTTGTTTAAGGCATCTGCAGTGGTACCAGTGTAAAAAGGGTCTAGTTCTCGTACTCGTACTGGTTCGGTCTCTGGCAGCTCCAACCTCGACCCTAGCTTTCCCCTTATCCCTCCTGCCCCCGGTATCACCTCCACCATTATCCCTGACCCTGACCCCGATCTCGACCTCACTCGCTCTCGTCCTGCATTCGACTCTGGTCCCTCCCCCGTATCCTTATCCTCCACCACCCCCTGATGCTGTTTCTCCTCTCCCTTAATTTCCACCTGCTCCTTCTCCTTCTCCATCTCTTTCCGACTCGGTATCGGGTCCCCATACTTCCTCCTATAGTAATCCAGTATAGACTCCTGCCCATGGACCGAAAATTGCTTCGACTTCTTCTTTATCCACTCTATGTCCGTTCCGTGCGGCGCATGCCTCATCATCCACTCTCTATTGACAGTACCCACAGGTGCGTTCTTCTCAAACCACTCCATGTCCACCGTACCCTGCGGTACTGGGAAGGTTTCCGGTGGGAATACCTGATGACTAGGGGGAGCGCGAGCCGGGGCGGGGTGGTTGTTCACCATTGTATATGTGTATGTATGTGTATTTGGTCGTTTAGATGGTGGTGGTGGTGAGAGCTAGAGCCGTTTGGTATAAGGGATGATGCGGACGGGCCTGAGGAAGTCTGGGACGTAATGACAATTTATGAAAGGCTTGAGAAGCAGGTTTGTAAAAGTGGCCTTTTTTCGTTCATAGTTACGTATGGTAGATCTAGACAGTCTACGTTTTCCAGCGTCAACCAGACAATGATATGCAGAAATATGAATACACCACAGAATTCTAGAAACGACAAACTCTCATAATCTGGGAGTCTAGATATCACTTAAAGCCCCATTGCAGAAGAAAAAATCATTTATATAGATCTATACATACCCGAGTTGCATAGTCACGCATTAATTAAGTACTGAGAGTTCTTGGTAGCAACGCGGACCTCACAATATTTCTCAGGACTTAATTAACGCGCGAGTACAATTATAATTAATGAAGTAATCAATCAATAGACCTACCCGAGTGACATCCCATGACGCCAAATCTACGCAAATATGACCGCAACAACCCGTCATCAGATGGCGGACCGGAAGCCTTTCTCCATTCCTACGAAAACATACCCAACATATAGACGCCTTCGTGTGGAATGTTGCACACGGTGTTGTGGCGTTGCCATCGATTACAATTGCGAGAACGAATCGACGGACGTATATATACTATCATTCCTATTGAGGTTGGGACAGACCCTGCTGCTGCTGACACCTGGGACAACCGGATAGCGGACCTGGCAATCTCCTTAAATTGTGGCACAAATCGAATCTTACCGATAGCTGACGTCCCAACCTCAATGGAAATGACAGTATAAGAAAACAAAGACAGTAGAAGTCTTTATTTAGATACAGCGAATCTTATCTATACGTCTTTATTTACTGATACGCCTCATGATCATACATTATGCTCTCATCCTTCACATTCAGAGCCCATTTGGGATCCGTCTGAAACGGAGTTTGGAGATGTAGATTTCTCCTTATTACACCCACTTTGTTCTCTACTGAGGCCAGTTACTAATCAGGCCCTTAATTATTAATTACACCACACTCCCCCCGTGAGCACCATACACGTACACTATTAAAAGCATCTACATTTATTTCCCCCTTTATAGTGGATCTGTAGTCCCCAACATGCATACGTGAATGCGCAACACCAATTCTCACTCGCGGGGTCGAAATGCCCCACGAATAAAACCAGAACATATATATCTGCGGGCAGGAGCAAATCCAAACTCACCATGAAGATGTAGGCTGAAGTATCTTATAACTGATGATTACTCCTATTCGTGATGTCTTTCTAAAAAGGGAAGGAGAGCCTTCGCCTTATTTAACTACCGCAGTCGTTGCCACATCTCTGTCTTCTTGCCACCTTACTAGCTAAACTACAGACTGGCTCTCTCGCTAAGCTCCACCTAAGCCTTATAGCCCATTGTTACTAGCTAGCCTGCCAAGCCTTATCACTTCGTCTATACTTCCAGGCACTCATACACGGATACCGCATATAGTATGGGGCGGTAAATGTGTCAAAAGTAATTTTACCAACGGTAGTAAATTATTTTACCACCGGTAGACCTTTTGGCCAAAAGGGGTCATATAATGCCAATATATATGAAAATTGTCCACCGGTGGGAAATTTTCATAAGTTTTGGCATTAATGATTGAACATTTACTTATGTAGTATAGCGCAGCATAAAAAACCGAAGCCCTATACACTTACATTGTCTATCTTTTTTTCTGCTTGGCTTGTCGACCTTATTTGTGAAAACACATATAACTCACTGGATCCGGTTGATTCTTAACGCCCGGCGCCAGACCCCGCAGAGTAAGGAGTATACACATGTAGATCTCCCATATAAGTACCCCCCAGAAGCCCCAACACGCCCTCAGCCACACCTCACATGATAGGCACTACAAAGAAACCAGTGCAGTACCGGGACCCCACCCCACGTATTGAGGAAGGCCAATATTAATAGGGGATTTTTGGATTTTTGCTCTCTTCCTGACTAGATAGATATATTAATTGAATTTTTATTCCTCTCCCCTCTCGGAAGGAGAAGGGGATGTTATGTTGCGCTACTAATTCTGCTATTTTTTTCTTTCCTCAAATGGAAATGGACGGTATCACACCACGAAACCCAACCCCCGAGTACAAGTGACAGCCCATGAACCCCGCCATCTCCCCCAGTCTGTCTACAGCCACACCTCCCCCCCCCCCCCCCCTTCAAAAAAAAGCACACAAAGCACAAATCACAAAGAGAAAGGGAAAAAAAGACATAAAATGGAAAACCCCCACTACTATCATTACCCCGCAAAATCCACTAGCCAACTACATCTTCCCCCTCGCCAACAACAAATACACATTCTCGCCCACCCTATCATAAAACTCCTTCCTCCTACTCTCCTCCTCCTCAACGCCTCCCCCGGTTTCCCCACTCAACGTATCCAAATCCCTCTTCTGGCTGCCCACCCACCTCTTCACAAAGCCCGCGGGGTCCATCGCGAGTGCATTCCAAAAGTCGCGCTTCGCCTTAGAATGATTGACCGCCTGTACCAGGACCGCAATCTGTTCGTCAATTTGCGCAATCTCGCGCAGCGATGCCGAGTACGATGGGGAACTGAGCAGGGCCGCCATTTTAGCGCGGATGGGATCGTCGATGGAGACGGTGATGTCGTAGACTGTGGGCGAGAAGTGCGTGGCGCTGTCGGTGCGGATGGTGTACGTGAGGGTTATGGGCTCGAGGGGGAGGATGTGCGAGAGGGTTAGTTCGGGGATTTGGGGGAAGTAGAGGCGGTCGACTTGGAATATCTATCTGCTTGTTAGCTAGCCTTACACCTAGGGAAGGAGGGAGATATGGGGGGGGGGGGGGGGGGGGGGGTTAAGTACGTTTCTAAGTGCAGCATCACAATTGATAGTCCGCCGCTCATCCGGGTCCTGCAACCCATTAATCCTCACATACTCCCAAATCCCCATTACAATCCCCGCCCTTGTATCCTCCTTCGTATCCAGCAACTCCGCCAACTGCGGCGACAGCCGAAACCGATCCGGCACCTCATCCCTCACGAGCTTAATCGTACAATTCACATTCTCATCGCCCTTGCGCTCAAACTCAAACCCATCAAACTCCGCCGGCCCATTACTTGCCGGCCCCTGCGGGGCATTCGGCGCAGGCTTGCGCCACTCAATGGCGTTGCCCTCGGGGTGGATATCCTTGTTTCGGTCGAGCTCGACACTGATGCTCTTGAAGAACGTCGAGAACTTCCGACGCGGCGGCGGCGGGAGCGGGTTATTGGGGTCGCCGAGGCCGAGGTCCGAGTCCGGGTCGAGCTCGGAGGCGTCGTCGTCTGCGTCGGGCAGGAGGCGGCCCTCGATGCGCACGCGGAACGTCGGGATCTGGCCCGTGTCGAAGTCGAACGCGTTCTCGTCGAGGGGGCGGTCCGAGTTCTGCCATGGCTGGTCTTTGGCAGTGTTGGAGATGTAGAGGCGCAGGGTTTTGTAGTTCTATTCCTCCCCGGCGCGCCGCGCCCATTAGAAACCCGCACACACACCGCCCAAAACACAAACAGACAAACACAGACGGTCACTCACCTTGACATTGCGATTCACCGCATCCTGCACATCCAGGCGCTTCCTCAATATCGTCGCATCATACCTCTTCTCCATATCCCTCAGCTGGCGATACAGGGCCACCGCCGGCACAATCTCCTCGACGCCCTCGGGGATGGTCTTATCCGTCGGCTTGCGCGCACGGCGCTTCGCCAGCTCGCGCTCCTGCATGGCCTGCTGGTGCTGCTGGTTAATCTGGGCTTGCGTTAAGTTCTGATGTGGGTTTCCTCCAGACGAAGCAAGCATGGGGCCCGGGCCGCGGCGCGCTGTGGGCGGGGGTTGTTGGGGCTGGGGGTAGCCGCTGGTGCGTGGGAGGGGCGTGTGGTGGGAGCGGTCCATTGCGAGGGCGGGGGGGGGGGCTATTTGAGTGGGGGGCGTGTGGTGGGAGGGGGCGAGTGTGGGTTGACGGTGGGATGACGTGCGGTGCGGTGATGTGCTGTGGGTTGTGTCGCGTCGTCAGTTGGGGAGTCGCTGGCCCGCGGTGTCTTTCTTGCTGTGCGGGTTTTCGTGTTCCTGGCTGGCGGTGTTCCGCAGGGTGTGATTATGTAACACACGCGCTTTGGGAAAGGCGCGTATGCAGGCGGTGCCCCCGTCACTGTGTATCACTCGATACCTGAGCTGCTCTTGAGGTGCTCTGCTGCTGATAGAACAGGCTCTATAAGATAAATCTTCATCTAATTGAGATTAGAAATGATATGTAGGACAAACATGCAGATATGTGTCAGTATACTAACTATAATGCAAACATACTGCTCGTGATCGGGATCTCGCTATCGGAGGTTTTGCTCGGACATCGGTATGAAGGAGTGATGATGCTTGGACTAAGCCGGTGCCGCATGCCTACATGTAGTTTTATAGAGTCTGAGAAACGAACAGATATGCCTAACCGAGTCCAGCCACGTAACCGCTGCATCTGTCACATTAACACCTGTGCGCGTAACACGCACCACAATGTGGACTATGGACATACATGTAGTGGGTGAGAATATTAACATGCCCGTAAAAGGCCTCGATACAAGATGATGTCTGTGTAAAGTATAGATTTCATTAGCAGGCTGCGAGTAACTAAACAACACCCTTGGGCCTTTCCGCTCGAGTGATTCCATGTGATTCCATTCTTTGACAACCAACTCGACATACATGTACGTCTCCGAATAACAACAACAAAAGACACCACCTCTTTCGCAACCTTCCACGTAAGGGACAACTCAGATATCGAGAATTACTATCAGTTGACTCTCTCGTACGCGTATCGGACCTCCCACAAAACCAGCCAGCTGATGCTCATATCATCTCAGCATCTCCAGCACAACTTCTACTAGACGGCGCTGTCCATCACTGTGTGTCCATCTGATAACACATCAGCCACATCGCACCCTCTATCTCTCCCAGCAAACAAACGCGTCATCCTCAACAAATAACGACCAGATTACCGTCTCGTAAGCTGACTCACAAAACCCACGCGAGTGATACACCATGACCAAGCATCACGAATCTTGGCGGAGCGGTCACGTGACTAGGGGTGGGGCGGCACTGCAAGGGTGTGATATCTTGGCAGTAGATCATATCGATATGATTAACTATTTGCTAGCTATCAGAGGATATATCATTCACTCAAGTGCCTCAACACCGTCAAGCTCCACGAAAAGAAAGGGAAACAGCACCTCTTGATAGCTATAGACCTCCACTAGCTATGGCTTACGCCATGGAACTCGCCGTATAGTCACAAGAGAGACCGGTGCTTCTAATGGGATCACAGGAAGCAATTATATTCCCTTTGGGAAGCCTCGTACGCCCGCCGTCCAAACCGCTCTATAGCTATTCCGCCTTCTGAAAAGAAAGAACACAAACCCCCAAATCAGTGGAGGAGCATACCATGCACCGCGCGGCGGTAATCGAGCCAGTACTCCTCTATCTACCCAAGCTATGTACCTACCCTACATCATGTGATACATCGGCGCGGTGTGGTGACACCGAGAGTTATATACGTGTGGCACCATCGGCCGCGGGAGTTCGGCAACTTTTTATTTCTTGTGTGACAATGGGTATTCGTGTGATGGCAGTCAAGTGAAAGAAATATTTTCCACCTTGGAGAATCTTATGCTCGTGGCTCGCCCCCGCACCAAAGCTAGGACGGTCACATATGTATGTGCTGGTAACAGCTCATGAAATTGGGACAGCATATGCTGTCGAGTGAGGGCTCATGATTGATCGGCATTATGTATGATATGCCTGTAGGATTTGGCATTCTTGGCTGCCAATGTTGTGTGGCGATGCTGCTGCTGCCAAAAGCTAAGGTCTTGGTATGTAGATAGATTAATGTCGATATATTGTGACCAGCTGTACAAGTGAGGAGTTGATTGAGGGTCACCGTCAATATCTGAGTATTCCTAAGAACTAAGTACCCACGAGGAGATAGATAATATTCGAGCAAAGTAAATTCGTGTTGCATATCAATACGATAAAAAGCCTAATGAAATATTGAGAGGCTATGCGCAGAAACCCATCGAGGGATGGTCAAATGGGCCTTGGTGTTTTGCAATCAGTGACTCACTGAAGATTGAGACCCATTCATCTCAGTTCTCTGAAATTAGGCTTGGGGTAGCTATGGATGACGGAGGTTCCACCGAGCCAATAGGCGACAAAGACCACCTTCCCAAAGCCACGATATGGACCACCAGGCGTCCTAACTTTTCTCCATGTGTATATTAAAAGCTGCTATTATTGCAGGCGCCAGTATAGCAATCGGCAAGACCGAAAGTTTGAGTGTAGTATGTAGGCTGTATCTACAACCAGCGCCGCTAGGCTCAGTATCAATAAATCTATCACGCACAAGGCGTTCTTTACCTCACCCAATTTCCCGGCCTTTCTATGTGATATTAAACAAGAACCTGAGAGTTCAGTAGCCTCAGCGGTATCATAAGCAATACTTTCAATGTATGCAGCTTACAACAAATCACCAGGTGCCGTATCTGAAAGGGACGGCCACCGAGTGGTTGCCTAACAGTCTATATAGGAATACCTCGTATGAGGTCGAGCCTCATAATAGGCAGGTACATACTTGGCAAATGAAAGTTTCTTTGCTGTGGTTCCACTGATGACAGGTCCAAGAACCAGAAATACGCCTTGCAATATCCGTTAACCCGCATGAAAATAAGGTTGCCAAGGCGCGAACAAAGTGGGTGGATCGAGGGTAAAGCGCACAAGGGTTCTATCTGTTCCGGTATAGGATACCGATTGTATATATCGTTCTGAGAAGGCACAGTGAGTGAGTGAGTCACAACGCTTTTGATATCCCTAAATATCAGCCAAGCGCATGGTAGATCGATCTAATAAAGAAGTCTATTTCTTTGTTTGTCGCCGTTGATCTCATAGCATTAAGAAGTGACTTTTGACCACCCACCATTCAACTGCATTGGGAGATCTCGAGCGGCTAAAACGGACTTTTGCCGCTGGAATTGGAATCTTGTTGTGAACGGAATCACACCGCCAAAGTCTAAGCCTTCTGACAGTGCCAGAATGGCGGGGGCTCGGTCCGTGGCCTGCTCGAGCTCTGGTATGTAAAATAGCTAGAATCACTGCTTAAGAAAGAGAATAAATTTGCCCAGGTCTTGGATGTTGTGAGATTCAGGGTTTATAAGGGGGGTGGGGCGGCGCGGCTAAGCCACTGTTCTTCAGAACCTTTTGCGTGACAATCCGTTAGCGAGCTTTCTGGAGTCTTTCCTACCGGAGATTTATGACCTCACCATGCCTGCTGATTTGGGACTGAAGGTGTCTCAAAAGAAAGAATGCCAATCCCCGTAGAGTTTACCTTTCCCAAGTAAGCAGTGATCTGGTGACCTTTAACGGGGAGCCTCGTTCCGCAGCTGGCACAGATTCATTCCCTCATCAATTCGGGCGTCACTGCTTATTTAGACATTCTTTTGAGGCTCTAATGATTGCGGTATTAGTTGACACATATGTTCAAACGGTACGGATTTCGTTTCACGGAGAATAATTTCCTAGGGAATTTCTTTAACGGGGGTTGAATCCTCGAAACAACGGATAGGTCGGCGTGTCATGTAGTACATACATACGGACATCTGTTGGAGCCGTGGGGGCGCACGGATCAATAGTATGAGCTTCGTTTGTGGTTGTTGAAGTCTCTAATTCTGCCTTGCAAAAAGATGGCAATCATTTGAGGTCCTGCGAGTATTAACAAGGCTCGCAATAGGTCCAAAGTAGTCCGTGCAATCCCGGTCACATTGTTGTAGCCACTTTCACTTTAAAGTGGAAGAACATGTTCTAGGATGTGATCCTGTGCCTCAAGTAATACGAGATATGACTGCGGGGTTAGTGTGGATAGACGTTGCCTGCAAACAGGCGAGTAAAGTAGGTAGTCCCTGCTGTGTTTCGTTCGATTAGTTACATGTCTCGCATAGCACCGCCCGCATCTTTCTATGGTTTGTGTCTGGCCTGATCAGAGAAGCATATAACAACCATTATCTGCCCTCTTCTGTTCGCTCTTTCAGACCGCACCATATCACGGTACAACAGCCAGAAGTCAATCCAAAGCTTTATTCAACTAATCCTTTATCTCCACCACACCTCAATATGAGTGCCATTGAACCCATCAAGACTACAGAAAACGCCTCAAGCAGCGGCGGCTATGGTGCCACTTCTTCGAACACAAACCCTCTAAAGAGGTCGTCTGACACTGGTGCACCTCTCATCAGCGTGCAACCAGCAAAACGCAGCGATCTACAGCCATCATATGCCCAGTTGCTTCCCGATGACAATGACGCTTCCACTACTGGATGGTATGGATCTATGAGTATGTTTCTTCCTAGGGATTATCAGTGATCATATTCTAATCGAATATTTAGTCAGCACTCTTGGTTCTACTATTGGATTTCTGGGCGCAATCCCTTGTTGTATTATCTGCCCCAATCCGTATAAGCCCGTCCAGCAGGGTCACGTTGGTCTCGTTACCCGTTACGGCCGTTTCCATCGCGCAGTCGACCCTGGTCTCGTCAAGATCAACCCTCTATCTGAGACCCTCGTGTCTGTCGATGTCAAGATTCAGATCTGTGAAGTTCCCCAGCAAGTCTGCATGACTAAGGACAACGTTACAGTTCATCTTACTTCTGTGATCTACTACCATATCAACTCACCACACAAGGCCACTTTTGGAATCACAAACGTTCGCCAAGCCCTCATTGAGCGCACCCAGACAACTCTCCGCCATGTTGTTGGCGCTCGTGTGCTTCAGGATGTAATAGAGCGTCGTGAGGAGATTGCACAAAGCATCGCAGAAATAATCGAGGATGTTGCTACGGGATGGGGTGTTCAGGTTGAGAGCATGCTTATTAAGGATATCATTTTCTCCCGCGAGCTTCAGGACTCCCTCTCTATGGCCGCCCAGAGCAAGCGTATCGGAGAATCTAAGATTATTGCAGCCCGCGCTGAAGTCGAGTCTGCAAAGCTGATGCGTCAAGCCGCTGATATCCTTTCCAGCGCTCCGGCCATGCAGATCAGACAGCTCGAGGCAATGCAGGCTATGGCCAAATCTGCAAACTCTAAGGTCATCTTTATGCCAACTTCCAACCCTGGACTTCAACACCAACTTCGCACACGATTGGGCGAGAGCTCTGCCTCTAGCCCGACTCTCGAGAACTTTGGCGATGATTTTGACCCTGATATGCAGAGGGCCATCAATACCCATATAGTCTCAGAGTTGTAAAGCTCTTGGTTATCCATGATTTAAGCAAGGCAAAACAATCTCGATTTGTTCTCTATGATGAGGAGTTTTGCGGTGGACTTTTTCAATCGAATTTCTTTTGTAGTTCTGGTATGAGTATTATGATAATTGGGATTGGTTTGGGAGGAGGTTTCTATTAATTCGGCCACTAATTACTTTTTCCTTTGTATCGATTTTCCTATAATTTCGGGATGGAGCGTTAAAGGGCTGCTATCCAGTTGATGGGAGGCTTCTGTGTATCTTCTCGGATGATTATTCAGTTCGTATGTTATGATAATTCAATGAAATCTCATGAATCTCCTTGTATATTCGGGGGAAGCGCCTATTTCGAGTGGATGGACACATGCATGAAAAGACCCCTTCCGTGATATGCGCCCCTGAATAGTACTGCATTTAAATGAGGCACAGAAACACTCTTCACAAAATATGGCATGCGGCCCTAACCAGGGAGCTTCCCTATGAGTACTGCATGAAATGCTGAGTACAGCGAAAGCTTGCTATAACGGTACCTTCTATAAGGGTAATCTCTCTATAACGGTAGCACTTCACGGTCCTTTTTTCCCGGATTTCAGCACAATCACCTCTTATATAAGGGTAATCTCTCTATAACGGTACCAAATTCCGGTCCCGAGCGTACCGTTATAGCAAGCTTTCGCTGTATATGATGTATCTTCCTGAAACAATATCCTCTAAGATATGCAGAACAGGGATACCCATGCAATCCATGAAATCATGATAACGCACTCGGAGTCTTTGTCCTAAAGGTTCAGTCCTCTGACGACGTTACTACGTATACATATACTAAGGTCCCCATTCTAACAAAGAGTTCTCCAGATCTCACCTCCTCCGTTAACTAAACATGCATTACGATTATGATTACATGTACTCTCGTACTCACCTACAGTATGTTCTATCTATTTAAAACTAAGCAGCTCGTGTCAAAAATAGGATTGAATGGGACGATATGAAAATCGGGTAAGAGGAAAGAAAACTTTAGAATCAAAGAAAGAGCATGTACGACTTGAGGGTAAGAGTGGATGGTATGTGCAGTTACTAATCCGAGCTGGGTATGAATTAGCTAAGAGGTGCGAATAGTGTGGTGTATCTCTACTAACCTAGTTAATGCAGTAAAAAGCTCTAATTTATACTGGAAAAGACCCATCTCCGTTCATAGGTGACCGATAAAGAATCATTTCGTTGAATTGGTCGATACGCACATCCCGCCGCTTCGATATGAGTTTGCAGGAAGCCTTCATATCGGACCAATTTTCGACCTCCCACTCCGATCTCCAGATCCATTCAAATCTGTTGGTTACTGCCTTGAAATCGGTAAAGAAAGCAACTAGAAATTCCTTTTTCCTACCGCAGCTGAAACCATACTTGAGCTTTCGGTAACATTTCTTGATAACCGCGAGGTCCAGTTTTAGACACCGGAGGAGGTCACGGTGGTGATCCGTGATGTGTTGGCGATCATGTTTATACGTTGAACCACAGTTGTCGAGAAGAGATGATCCCCCAGTAGAGAGAGAACTGTTTAATCGTTCCAAAGTCGGCTTCGTTTGTAAGGCGCATACTGGACCTCCATTGATTAGGACAAAATTTTGGAAAGTCTTTGGGTCGTCTAAACAGAACTGTGGTGCCTCTTTGCGCGCGATGTCGGCTTTCTTGACTAACTTCCTGAGACTTTTACACTGGGCCTCGATGGCTTTTTCGAGGGACCTGAGATTCGAGAGGGCGTGCTCGGTGCCTTCCAGAACCCTTTCGGGGGCGGCGTCCATGTAAACGCTCTTGGATTTCCTGGAGCTGCTAGCTGTTACTATAGTCCTATACCTGAGTGGAGTGCAATATACCCAATCCCGAAAATATCAAATCCCGAAAAAAAGTCAATTCCCGCAAAAATGTTTCTGAGTTCCCATTTCTTTGCCATATCGATTGAATCTGAGAACGACCTTGAGAACGATCTCAACTTCATGATAGCTTTGGTTTATTTTTTGGACTGTCATAGCGTTAGATTTGACCATGGACCTCAATTATTCTTGTATTGATGGATGATCTTACAGAAACTTTATGTCGAGTCGTGTTCTGATAGGTATTTTTATAGTTAATTGAGCAGGTCGATCTTAATTATAACGGTGTTGAAGGATTCTCGTGTGAGGTCGGTTTTTGTGGGGAATTCAAATCACAAGGGACCGTCTCGCCAGAAGTCGTGAATGACGTACATACCGGAGAACGGTTGCTCTCTCGCGTTCAAGTCTCATAGTACTCCGGCCCCGAAGGGCTCTACTTCAATTAGACGGTTTCTTCTGCGTATCCTCGAGGCCATACTATGTACCATACGGGATAAATTAGTATCACCCCGCTATCCCAGGGCGATCAAATAGGCCCCTTGTTTTCAAATTTGTAGAACAAAGCTGACCACTGGATGCTCTCTGCAGATTTTGCATATAACAAATGAATTACAACAACATCAACTCTCTGCAGATAGAGAGGCAATATGGTGCGTGTGATACCTATGATGCTATTGTGATAACAATTTGGTCAACCAAACGATTCCCATATCCACCAGAACTTGATTATCAAGGACCAGGGTTTTTACGAATGTACTAGTACTCATGTGTGTGATTGAGATAAGCTTTTCTGAAAAGCTTTGAAGGCAGCCACTAAATCAATTTCAAGCCACAGAAAAGGCGTTTTCGTGGGTTCGTAGATACGCTTTCAGGCTGTTAGTGTTCCGATTCGTCTCTCTTGGGCCATGGGTCCGGCCCTGTCTCTCAGGCGCTTACTCTTGCTCAGCGCAGGTGTGTGGAGGATGGATGGATGATGGTTGAACATCTCGGTTACCGCAGTTTAACTTATAGGTCACAAAACTAACATTCCCTGGTATCAAGTGAGCTCTGATTCACCAGGCGTTAGGGGTCCCCCACCGTACCACACAAAACTACATAGTACTGGTTGTTAAATCGACAGCCAAGAAGAAGGTACACAGGGAGCTCGTTCGACAAAGAAACGGAGCGCATAAGTTCATCCCATGCCGGGCTCGGAGCGGTACATATTCCAACTCGTCCACTTCATTACAGCACTCTACCAAGCTACATGTAGTTGTAGTTATATGCTATACGATTTATGCTTTACGCGCTACGGCCTTGGCCTCAAGCCACATATTGTATATTACCACTACACTACCGATCGCGATGTCTATGTACTCTAGGTATACCTACTACTAGATTTAGCTCTAAGTTCTAAATCGGGGTGTTGATAGCATTTTTGCTCTTTGGGAAATGATATACCTTCACGATTGCCAATACCTTCACGATTGTCAATACTTCACTGTCAATTGAACAGCTCATGATCATCAACTACTACCTATGGCTCGAGACACCTGAGGGAGTAGGTATATCAACTTCGGAAAACGGATTTTCTTTTTATGGGAGGCGAAATAGATCCGCTAATTTCTGAGAATTGATTTTCAGTTGATACATCCGCCCCCAAGGCGTCTCAAGCCATAGTCTATTCGCAATTGCACAAAACCTCCCCATGACGTGGCCCCTCAAACCCATGAATTAAGCTATGTGTAGATAGGTACCTTGCGCCTGCTTCTTTAAATTGGGAATCGCATACAACTACAATATAACTTATCATCGTCAACTGGAGTACCGCCATAACTCGAAAAATTGGCTAGATCAAAATTACTTGTACGGGAAACTTATGGTGCAGATCGATGCCATTCAACCAATCACTCAAGTGGTAATCCCTGGACGAAGATAGCCAATTTTTCGAGTTTTGGCGGTATATAGTAGACACAACTACTCACTCAATCGAGTACTTCGCTATTATGGGATGATTGATCTTCCCTGCTCAGGTGACACAATGTACAATAATAAAGCAGCTGCAGTCGCACGAAAACGTAACGGGGCATGTCCCGCACCTCGTATTAAGAAAATCGATCGTCAAGGCCAGGCCAATTTGAGATTCTTACATACTCGCGGTTGGACGAAACTACGAAATTTAAGGATTTATATGCCGAGCTTTAAGATTCTGGTTATAGTCACAAATGCCCAAGCGTGCTTGATCGAGATGGTGTAATTATTGAAAGCCCATTTGGCACATAGCTCCTGCAAGGCTGACAACAAAGATCGACCGCAACTCACAATTCCTAAGAGTTTTATGACCTTGTGGGCGCATATATAGCGCCCCAGGATTCCTGACACTGGTTTGAGCTCTGAATAGTAGATTACTCTACATCTTTCAGGATGTCTGCCTACCCTCGAGAAATACCACAGCCCACCCAGAGCCTTGTGATAACTGGACGCGTCTGCGACACAAAGTACGTCTTTACCCCATCCAACGGCACCAACGTCTGCTATTATATTCTAGCGCCTCCCAAATATAATAACAAACGCCATGCCCACGGTTGGTCTGCTATTGTCCACGCGGGTGACAATCCAAAATACCATTCACTGGCTGAGTCACCACTAGTTGGAAGATGCAAGAGATCGATGTTTTGGAGGAAATATTTTATTGAATATGGCGGATCTGTGCAGAAGGATGTTAAGAAAGATGAAAAGGCGATTAAAGAGAAGAAACTTAAGGGGGCGAATAGATTCAGAAAATGGTTCTGCATGAGCCCCAAGGATCTTGTGTGGTCGGAAGAAGAAGAAGCTGCGATCTCAGATGAAGAAAAGGGTGTTGTTACGGAGGCTACAAAGATGTTGGAGTTGGAACATACGGGGCATAGGAGATATGAATTTGTAGTGGATGGAAGGACATACAGATGGTCGGGGACGAAGATGCATGCTGGGAGCTTCATCAACAAGCTGGGCTTGAAAGGGTTCGCCTTTCATGTTAAGGTAGGTGTACCCCGCATAATATAGTGTTCCTATTCCCGACCATGTACTGATATGCTTAGCTGGTACGGATGGATGATCATAAACTCATCGCTTCGTTTAAAAAATGCTACCTGGGAAAGAACGGTAGATTCGGGGAATTGAACTTTTACGGCGGTGAGCCTGAGACTGGATTGGAGGAAGTGCTGATCGTTCAGACTGCCTTCTGTGTGACCAAGGCAGAAAAGGAGAAGAGAGACAAGGTACGAGATATCCTAGAAGAGATAGGCGAAAACGCTGAGGGTTGAGGATATCTATATATGCTTGTGCCAAATTATCAGCTTGCAATTGGGGGACACGACATTCATTCATAGTTTGAATTTCTTTTGTCCAAATTTCAATTATAAGTGGGAGTCATGTTAAGGTATAATGTACATCTCAATGAGCTTGAGCGCCTATAAACAAGCGTATGTAGTGAGTTTGTGTCGTTGAAGTGCTTGAATAGACCTTCTTTTGGAAGCCCACCTGGGTGGGCTAATACTTCCAACTAGAATTATTACTGTAGTGTAGAGTAGCGGATGCCAGCTCCAAATGATTTCGTTAGATGACTAATCCGCCTTGGCATCATGGCGGGACGACTCCATGAGCTTCAACGCGGGCAGCATGAGAGAATCCCACTTTGACATCGACCCGCCATCCATCAGCATCAACGACAGCATTAATCCCTTCATTTCATCCCTTTATCATCACCATCACCATCACCAATAATCCATATTTACCCGCCAATAGACAATCAAGATGGGTCGGTTAGAAGATGCTCAAGAGCTCGCAAAGACAGACCTGCCAAAGGCCGAGGCCATCTACAAAGAGATACTCTCAACGCCCCCTGGGATGAACGATGCTGCGCTGAGAGACTATGAGTTAGCTCTAATGGAGCTGGGTGGATTGTATAGGGATAAAAGGTTTGTTCGAATCTGGGGATGCATTTAAATCTTGGTATTGGGTCTAGGAATAACTCTGTGGGATGGATAGACGAACACCTGAGCTTGCAGAGTTGATCAAGACGAGTCGGTCCGTGCTATCTGCATTTGCAAAGGCCAAGACTGCTAAAATCGGTATGTTAATGGTTACCTGTATCCAAGTGCATAAGAATAGAGATGAGATGCTGATCGTCCACTAGTCCGTCAACTGATTGATCTCTTCACCACGATCCCCGATACCTTGGATATCCAAATTTCAGTCACTAAATCTTGCATCGAATGGGCTATCTCCGAAAGACGTTCTTTCCTTCGCCAGAATCTTGAAACCCGTCTCATCGGACTCTACCTCCAGAAGCACTCCTACACAGAAGCCATAACTCTCATCAACTCACTCCTTAAAGAGCTGAAAAGACTCGATGACAAGATGGTACTTGTAGAGGTCCAGCTTCTGGAATCTCGCGCCTACCATGCCCTTCGAAACATTCCCAAATCCCGCGCATCACTTACATCAGCCCGTACATCCGCCAATGCTGTCTACTGCCCTCCGCTTATGCAAGCAGGTCTCGATATGCAGAGTGGTATACTCCATGCGGAAGATAAGGACTACAACACTGCGTTCTCGTACTTTATTGAGGCCTTGGACGGATACTCTACTCAGGATGATTCAAAGAAGGCTATTGCTGCGCTTAAATATATGCTTCTGTCAAAGATCATGCTGAACCTTACCGACGATGTTCACCAGATCATGACCGGAAAGCTCGCAATCAAATATGCTGGTCGTGACATCGAAGCCATGAAAGCCGTTGCCCGAGCGCACTCGAACCGATCATTGGCCGAATTTGAGCAAGCCCTTGCAGATTTCAAGGCCGAGCTAGGATCAGATCCATTCATCCGCTCTCACTTCACGGCACTCTATGATACCCTACTAGAACAGAATCTTGTTCGAGTTATCGAACCCTTTTCTCGTGTCGAAAT